CTAAGCTATCACTCTTACATCGTATCGTTTTCCATATCTTGACATTGCCAGCATATAGCAAAACAGATGATGATAGGAGACGAGGAAGGTCATTTAAGTACAAGAGAAATAGCACTGGCCCCGAAACTGTACCCTGGGGCACTTCACTAAGCACAGTTTCCCAGCTAGATAACTTTGAGTTCACCCGTACTCTTTGTTGGGCCCAACTAGGAAGTCTTTCATCGACATCAATAGGTTGCCTCCAATTCCGACATTTCTTAGCTTATATAACAGCCGGTTGTGCGGAACTTTGTCAAAAGCCTTGCTGAAATCAATGTAGGCTATGTCTACGGGTAACTTTTGGTCCTTAAGAGCGCACCAGCTTTCACGGGCGACTAATAAGTTAGTGAGACAAGAATAACCTATTCTGAAACCGTGATGTTTCCCCGAAAGGATCCGGTTTTCATCAAGGTACTTAAACAGCTCCTTCCGAATAATTTTTCTAATATTTTAACAGCCACACTAGTTAGACTAACGAGTCGGTAATTCTCAGGTTTATGTTTCGTACATGTTTTGAAGACAGGACTTACTATGGCGTTCTTCCAGTCTTTTGGTAAACGATCCTGCGTTACGGATAGATTAAAGCATATATTCAAAGTGTTCGCAGCAAAGTTAGATAATTCCTTCAGCAGCCTAGGATGCAATCCATCGGGCCCCGTGGATTTACCTATGTCAAGCTTATTCATCAGACCAAAGACATCAAGTTATTTAATGGTCACGCTATCCAGTGTATGTGTGGGGGGATTTGTGTGCGCTGACGGGAAGGGTTCTTCCATGGTATATACACTGCTAAAGTAGTTTGAGAACATTTGAGCCTTTCCAAAGTCGTCCTCTACCAATGATGAGGCAGTACTGTCTCCACATAGTGCAGGAATATTTCCTCTTCCTTTTGTCCTTTGGTTTATATAGGAATACAAGCGTTTAGGACATTCTATGGATTCCTTAAAATTTTTTACTTCGTACAACATTCTAGATTACGGAGGGTCGAAGCACAGGTATTCCAAGCTTTTCGATACTGAGATTTTGTCTCATCAGTCCCCAGTAACCTAAATCTATCCCACATTTTTCTTCTCCTACGGAGAAGGATGCGGACCTCCCTACTGAACCATGGTGGGGAGTTTCCCGGCCCCCTTGGTATAGTCCAAGGGATGTGGGGTGTGGTAACTTTTAAGTATAAATTTCGAAATGCGTCCCAAGCCGTTTCAATTGAGGACTCTGGGTGCATGCTGTCTGGTATGTTTGCTTTCCAGACGTTAGGTCTGGATTGAGCTGATGCATACTCGTTTTTGACAACTATATGGAAGTCGGAGGTTAGAACTGCATGATCGCTTTTACCTAGGTGTGGCATGTAATCTAGATTCGTGACGTCACCCTTATAATCGGCCAATATAAGATCTAGTTAGGATGATTCAGAGTCCGGGTCGTACCTAGTCGCTTCTTTCACATGTTGCACTAGGGCACATATGATAACCGCATCAACTAGTTCCTGCTAGAAGGAATTTTCTGACGATTCACTTCGCAAATTTTCCCAGTCCACCATGGGTGCATTAAAGTCCCCTAGGACTAGACATCGACCACTTTGTGACCAAGTATTGAGACTGCTTAGCAGGACCCCATTTACCCCACATCTTGGACTGCGATAGACCAAACCAATCAGCAGCTCTTTTCCCTTTCATTTCAAGCGATAACTAACTGATTCACACGTCCCACTCTCATGGGATACACTGTCGATAATGGCAAATTGGATAGAATTCCTAATGAATAGAGCTACTCCTTCTCCTTTACGTTTTTGTATTCTGTCGGCTCTTACTAACCCTCGAAATCAAGTTCCACACTATCTATGGACTGTGTCAGACAGGTTTCTGTGACTGTGATTATGTCTAGCTTTGTAGATTCAGTCTGTACACCTAGTTCCGATCGCTTATTGAGTAAGCTTCGGGCATTAGTGTAACAGATCCGAAGCCTATTTAAGTGGCTTCGTGCTTCACCCAGAGTGGCTTCGGCATCGTTCTCTGTCGAAACCTTACAACCCGAAAATTTACAATTTTATGTCCTTTTTTGCCAGCGTCTAACCTAAGTTTTAGTTCTTTTTCGGCTTTCCTTCTTTCTACACGGTCTACCAACGGCAAGTCCTTACGGATAAAAACTCCTGAAGCCTTTAACTTATGTCCATTCTGTAAAATTAAGTCGCGTTCATTCGAAGATTTGAATATTACTTTAAGCAGTCTGGACTGATTAGGCTTCAAGTTCGCTAGACTCCCTAGTCTGTACACCTTTAGCAAGGTGACCCCGGTGACATTTTGAGGCATGAGTTGATTAAGTAGCCGTTTTATCAGCACAATGTCATGCTCAAAACGAGTTTTCGGTTCAGAGCTTTCACTCCCCTTTATTCTATGAAAAGTAACCGATTTGTCACTGTGATCACCCTTCGATTTCTCGACTACTTTTACGGGGGCAGGATTCCCTTTTATATTGTTATGTTGTTTCTTCCTTACAACCTGTACCCATTCGTCAACGTTGCTTGGAGAAGCAACCAAAACACTTTTTTGCAGCATTTACCAATGAGATTGCCTCGGTTAACAAGCTATTTGCATCCGAACAGCACTGTTGACAGAGTCATACGCAACCGTTTTTACTGAACCGTTTGGAAGCCACAGGTGTTAAATTCGTGCAAACTTCGTGGTATCAGCCTCTGCACTCATCGCACTGCATGCCGCTTTCAACGGGATAACGACAGCCCGGACGGGGGCAATTGCTTTTTTTGCACTGTCCAGTCATTAAACAGAGGATTTTATTAAAAAAAGAACTAAATGTAATAATACTCAGAGACAAAAATGATTTATAGCCAAAAAAAGTGGAAAACTGTAGATTGTTAGAACCAAAAGTACTAACGGATACAATAGAAAACAAAGTACTCAAGAGTACCGACGACAAACTACTTTAGAAATAGAAACGATACTCTAGTCGAATACTTTAACTGAAATGAATTCAATTAAAGTGAAAACAGTAGTCTTGATACGTAATAAACGATCAAAACAATGGAATTTACTGAGCGAGGAAAAATACCACTCTCCTTTAAATTAGCGTGCGTGATTTCAATGAATATACATTAGTTTTTTTTCTGGATATTTTCCCGTGCACAAACGATCATTACTGCCTTATAAATGTCCATATGGACTTGCCAGGTCTATGTCTTTATTTTCTGCATTATTTTTTTCCTATCCGCAGCAATCATTATTTGGTAGTAACGTAATCTTTTTCGTAACTTTTTTCGTTTTTACTGTTTGTAGTTTACGCAATGTTAATAGGTTCCGAACTTCTTTAATTAAACATCTAACCTGGTACCTATCCTAAATTTTATATAAATTTTCATAAAGTTGCAAAAAAATAATGGCTTTTTACTTATTACCAGTTCATTTATGAACGTTCTTATTTGAATTTGATGGCTCCCATTATTTCAATGGCCTGTTTAAACGCCACCAGTATCTAAATGTCATTGGTAAATTCATTAAAGCAATCATAATAGGTTAAATTACTTTTAGACACAGAGATTCGAGATTTTTAGGAACTGGTTCTACGGTTTCTTGTTGACTAGTAAATGACCAATATCAGTCTTCTCAGCCTGTTTTGCCTATATCTATTAATAGCATTCCAAACAAATTGCTGCACCTTCATGGGTTTGATCACTGTTGGCTGCAATATATGAAATATAATTTCATACAGCTAGAGAATTCTGAAGTAAGGAATATTTTAATGGTTTTTATAATCTACTACTACTCAAATTCACTTAACTAGTCTATCTTCAATAAATGCGGTAATATTTTGAAGTAAATATGATTTAACAACTATAGTTGTTGATCAATAGAATGTAAAGTAAAAAAGACATAATGTTTCATAACCATCTATAAACAATCTGTTCTAACTGCTTATAAGCTGCATACTTACAATTAAATCACAACTTTTTCAATTTCACATTCAGAGTGTGGGTGAGAGAGAGAGAGGAAACAAAAACTCTTGAATATTTTACAAAGAATTTATTTTTATAGGTAATTTCACTTCCATTCGAATTTATTTTCTGTTATGATTAATCTTTTTTTATTTCAATGAAGAAAGTCATTTTTCTAGTTTGTTATTTTTTCTTCTTATGTATGTATTTATGTAACGAGCTTATTTAATTGATTCTTTATAGCAACATTTAATTTGACTATTTTCGGTAATTGGAATAATATGTCTGATCAATAGAGAAAAAATGGTGATATTTCTTACTACTTAAAGAAAAAAAAAGAGAATTTTGTGAAACTTTAACATTACAATGACCAACACAACTAGATTTTCATTTATTACTTAGTATATATATATATATAACTTTCTGTGAAAATATATAAATTTACTGGATATTTTAAGGATTAAATATGATTTCCAATAAAAAGGATTTCGTGATTAAATGGTAAAACTTCTAAACTTCTTCTTTCTAAAGAACTTGGATTTTTACATTTTCCATACTCATTTGTCTACACTATTACTATGATGCTTCCAGTATGGTGACTGTAATTTTTACCAATATATTAACTAAAGCTTGTTTCCTTTCCGAAAATTCTTTCTACTTCTGTAATTTTAGCATATTATTCTAATTTGTAGGGGTTTGGGTTATCCCGTTGTTAATATTCTTGGTTGAATTTTGGTCATAGTCGGAAAACCTTCATTCTTTGTGGATCTCCTCAATACACTCATTTTATCCCAAGTTCAATAGAAGAGATTTACTATGGCTGGCAGTTGAATCTAGCATTGCTAACCAAACCCACCTCTTCAATTTTATGTGTTAAAAGTAATTAGAACATATGATATTGACGATAAGTTATTTCTATTTAGCATCAGAGAAATTTTCTTCATTAATCCAAGTTTTTCTATGACTAGTTGAATAATTGGTAAACTTAATTATATCATGCGGAATTATATGAAAGTTAGACATATTATGAAAATTTAATTGTATTTCACTATCAGGTTTCACAATAATGTTCGTCTATTACATTAATATTATTAATAATGTTAGAAATATCATTCTATAGAATTTTACAATGGAAATGAATAGTTAATTTAAAATCTACAAATAAAAAACATTCAATAAATCATTTTTTTTTGTAAAAAAAATTAGTAAGATGAAGTGAAACATTGACATAAAATTATGAACAAGGAGTGTATATCGTGTCATTGTGTGAAAGACAAAATGAAAGTTTTTTATTTCACTTACTATCAAAAAAAGTGTTCATATTGATTAGAAGATTTTTTTGACAGAATGTTTATTTGGAGAAGTAACAAGTGCTTTAGAATAACTATGTGCTTTAATGTGTTTATGAGTGTATAGTGAAGGGAATGTATGAATCCAAAATACAAATGACAAGTTGAATAGTAAATCTACATCAAATGCTTTATTGAGTAATTACATTTCCGTGATACATAAAATGGGATACTTTCAAGAAATGAAAAATGAATAAAGTTGAGTTTCATGATTATACATTATGCACATTGACAATCATGAATATTATTCTGATCTGTTATTAAAACTGTGCCTGAAATGAAATGATTAGAAATTCGGAAAATTAACCTTATTTACTAACGAATAAAATAACAGTATTTTCGTGTTAATTTACTAATATTGTTGAGTGAAATTATTTATCTTCCCTGAGCATAATAATTTATAAAATATTTTCTATGAGCTTGGTTCGAATAAAACATTTAACGTATTTACCGAGAACTTTATAGCCGAATAATTAAGAGATTTAGACGATTGCCTTTTAGGATGCATGCAATCATAATGGCTTGTATACTCAGTGGTTATAGATTTGATTTCAAACCATTGTATACATTTTAATGCAACAGAAGTAAAAGGAAGAAAGCCCAAGATGCATTAAAAGCTGTTGAATCATCTAACTGATTAATTAATTTTTTCGAGCAGCCAAAAATTTTGAGAACACTATTCATTTTCATAAAGTAAATGGAGTCCAAAATAAAATTTTTAAATAGTATGTATCACTGACACATTGTGATGAAGCAATGAAACGATTAATAAAGTTCTTGAACAGAAATTCGCAGATTAGCTCTTCAAATATCGCTTGCATAGTTATCATATTATCCTCTTCTACAACATTTCATAAGGACTTAATTTGCTTGATTTTCCTACTGCTCATTACTTAAGAAGATTTTTCATGTATTTTGGGAATTTTAGACTGCCTGATAATATCAAAAATGTTCCCTAAACGTGGTTTTCAAGTAAACATATACAAATGTTAAATTATATATTTGTAACTGACAAAAATATTTCCAACGGCTTCACAAGAAATGAGAATATCAATGAATGATTTTTTGAATAGGCCACTCGTACTCAATAAACAATAGGATGTATTGAGGTTTTGTTGAATCTGATCACATTTTGTCAAGAAGCATCTCAAAGTAATACCATTGGCAATTTGTAACCGCATTGAAGTTTTAAATACTTTGTGTAAATTGTTTTAAAGTCGTAAAATAATAACTGTTTCACAACTCTTACCGATTTAAAGTTATTAATTGGAATACAGTTTATAAGGATAAACTGTCGTTGAAGTTACTCTACACTCTCAGGACAATATTTATCCTTATAGACCCTAAAATTATACTTAGTTATAAGCTAAATTCTCTAAAAACGCTTTGCAAAAATACCGTAGCAAGAGTTCTTGAAATAAATTGAACTGTCACATCTTTTCAACTCACAAATGGTCCATCAAAAACAATCTACATGTTTATAGTATTATATGAATAACTATTGGTAGAATAAGTAATAGAAACCAGTAACCTGTTTAACACAACACTAGCGGAAGACATTAATGTAAAACAAAAGCGTATTTGACAGACTAGAATATTTAATGTAAAATCTGTTCCTGTGACTGCTTCAAAGCATAATACGCGCTTTTATGTTTTCATTCTTCCTCATTTATGTAAACTGACTTCAGACAATGTAAGACCAGTACACTAGTGAGCTAGTAAAGGTGATAGATTTTTAATAGCAGAGGTATACTTAAAGTAAATGCAACAAATTAACAATAATAAATATAGGCAACAAGAGGATAAGGAAATACAAGAATGCAATAATAAAGTTTGGAGATTGTAATAAACCACAGTAGTTTACAACATCCAGTCATTAACCAAGTCTTCCACAATGCTTAGGCTAGTAGGAAGTAGCTGAATTACTCTAATATAATTACTTAAAATGTAGTCTAGACACAAATTTTTATTTTAATATTTCTTTCCAATATGGTCTCATTATAGGGCCTTTTTGAGATGCACAGGTCATCATCGACTTCCAATTACAGTAGATCCTGAAAGTGTTTATAGTACACGTGTTAATTTACAGGCATAATCGGGTTGACACAAAAGTGCAGTCAAAATTTTAAAAATAAAGTTATAATATTACTGAAACGGATGTGATTCATAAGTTATTTCAAGAGAACATTATTATAAGCTTTTTAATGTGAACCATAAGATGCATACAAAACGCATAATTATAAACGACACAAGTGTGCAGAAACAAGTCCAAAGACTTTTAACTGACAGTGCACATTTTTCTGTAACCACGTGATATTATTTCTTATTTAAGAATAGAGGCGTTAAAAATTGATATGTATGGTTAAATAAATATTGCATGATAGGAATTAACTTACCTAATACATAACTCTGATATACCGATTATATTTGTACTCCCTAAGACAGTCTATCTTAATGTGATGTGTTTACTGGTAGTGTTGCCTTATCGTCTATTAATTGCGACGACTGAAGTAAATCAACACTGAATGGTAACTGATGTGTTGTTACAATATTTGGTGTAACTTCATTAAATGTTGTATCCTGTAGTTGTGGTGTTACTATTAAACAATTTAACATTTCATTTTTACTATAATTAATATCAGTTGGTTTTCTAATAGAACAGTTTCTCATAGTGTTTGAATGATTATTACAAAATAAAAGTTTACTTGAATTTAAACACGATGCAGAATCTGTTTTTGTATTATCTTCTATGGAATACAAACAATCACAAAAACTAATACAGGATTCGTTGACACCGTTTTGTTGATGATTTAGCTGTTGTTGTTGTTGTTGTTGTTGTTGTCGTGGAAGTGATTGTTGTTGATGACATGAATAATGTTGATCTAATTTTGGTAAAGAAGATGGGAAGTTTTTAGTAGAATAGAATGATAAATGTTGCTCAAAATAATGATATTTTGCTTGACGCATTAACATTACCTCAATAACCATCGAAAACCACAAAGTAGTGAACAGCTGTGTCAACTTAGTATGGGGTATCTCATCACTTTAGATTTAAGCCCTTCCCGAATTCAGACGAAAAACGACTAGAATTTGCAGTGAATTCCTTAATTTTAGACCAGTGGGTGGACGTTCACTTTTTCATATTCATTAGTCGATTGGATTGATGACAATGAGGAGCTGCGAGTCGCCTCACTCTAGATAAAATCAGACTTATTTGGTCACAGCTCACTGGATTTTTAGAAACCATACGGATTCAGTCACGGATGTTTACCTAGATGACATCAGCTGGTGATATAAACTTCAAAGTTACAAATGTTTAAAATTGTAAATAAATTTAGGAAGAATTTAGTACAGTATTTGAAACTTGTGTTTAGGTATTTACATGAGTAGTTCAAGAGTAAAGTCTTACCGGTGACTTCCCGAAACCACCCTATATCACAAACCTCCTTTATTGGAATCGGTTATTTATAACAGTATGGGATAAGAACTATAAAGACTGTCAGATAAAAGAAAATCTTATAAGTTCTTGTTAGAAATCCTTAAACATGATAGTTAACACACAAATGAATAGCTTCAAAGTAAATCTATGTATCAAAGTATACAACATAAGTGAATAAACCTGAAACAAAACGAATGAAAATATTGAATGAAGAGTAGATAAGATCAGAACACATCATATACTTATTTTTTTTAACAGAAAAAAAACAAACAAAAGAATAGAATAAATGAACCATAAAGTGTTGTTTTTTATCATGCATCATATTTGTTATATGTAACTCCTAAAACTTTAATTTTTTGCGAGAAATATAGACATTTGAAAGGTACACATATAGGGGTCAAACAGGGTGAATTTATGAACATTTTTACCCTCAAGATATTTTGCTACCATTGTAACAAAAGTATTGTTTATCAATATGTGCATGCATGTTTGTGCGAAGATGAATTTTTTGAAACTAGGTTTTACTTATACATAATAAAATACACATTTTAGGTGTACTCCACAAACTAAGCCACATAGAAGCTATATTTGTTCTCAATTTTTACACTAGAGAAATTTTTGATGAAATGGTTCGTTACCATTGTTGTTTCTGATAACGCCAGTCGATTGTGTTTGAGAATAAACAAAATATGAATACAGTTAAACTCAGTACCGAAATTTTCTCAATTAAAAAATCTGTTGTATAAGTGACGAAAAATGTCTAGTTTTGAAATGTTAACTGAAAAATTATTTCAATTTTCATTAAAAGGAATATGTCTAGAAAACTCTCAGTTGTGGAATTTTAATGTTTTACCAACGGTATATAATTTAATAAGTCATTTGACAAAGAACGAAATAAAGAGAATTCAACGAAGAAACTTTTCTTTCCAACGAAATAACTTACTTAAGTTGTACATTCTTATTTATAGTATTATAGTAACTATATGTCTGTAGAAGAATAAAAAAGATTGCATCATAAAAAGTGATTCGAGACTCAAAATATCAAATAATTTTGCTTAATAATCAGGGGGTTAGAGGAGAATATAAGGATGAAAATTATTTACGGGCTAGAATTATGAAAGACAATTGTCCGCTTGACAGATGTGTAAAAAATGAAAAACCCACTTGATATTTGGAGTTTTTAAAAACTGTGATGCAATATTGTCCTAACTTCTATCGACATATATCTAACATACAATTATAAACAGAAATGTACAGCTTAAGTAAATGATTTCATCGAAACGAAAATTTTCTTCGCTGAGTTCTCTTTATATATACTCAAGATACAATAAGTTATTTTAATTACCTGTGAGACAGAGTGGAAAGAACGACATCTCATCTAAATACCAAAGAAATGAGATCTCAATAAATGTGAGAACTACCAAAGCATCACGCTACTGTCGGTATCAGGAAAAGTTTTCAACAGAGTGTTCCTGAACTGGATGAAAGAGTCAGTAGACGTTCAACTTTGAGATCAACAGTCCGGATTCCGTAAGGATAGATAGTGCACAGGCAAAATCATGACACTACGGATCACCGTTGAACAATCAGTTGAATAAAACTAGTCACTAGACATCAACTTCCTTGACTATGAGAAAGCATTTGACAGTGTGAACAAAAGAACCTTATGGAACATGTTTCAACACTATGGTGCATCTGAGAAAATCGTCGATACCATACGAAATTCATACGAAGGACTACATTGCAAAGTCATGTATGGGGGACAGCTGACAGACGCATTCCAAGTGAAGATTGGAATCAGATAAGATTGCTTACTCTCTACGTTCCTCTTTCTTCTGTTGGCTGACTGTATTACAAAGACCACCATGCCTTAGAAGAAGAACGGATTACAGTGGACAGCTTACATGCAACTAGACGGTTCGGACTGAGCAAAAGACCCAGCCACTCTATCCCATATACACCGACGAATACAGTTGAAAACAACTACTGTAGCAGAAGCCTCTGCATCAGTAGGCCTCAAAATACACAACGGAGAAAACAATATCCTCTAATACAACACCGGGAACACCAATCCAGTCGCATTTGATGGAGAAACCCTGGAAGAGGTAGAAACTTCCACGTACCTGGACAGCATCATCGATGAAGAGAAGAGTAGGCGGTGATCAGGCCTCATTCCTACAGCTGAAAGATATATGGAACTCAAAACGACTGTCAGGCAACATCGAATTCAGAATCTTCAATGCGACCGTAAGGACAGTGAGTTCTACTGTACGAGCTGAAACTTAGAGATCTACTACAACCATCATCAAAAACGTACAGTTATTTCTAAACAACTGTCTACTCAAGACACTCAATGTCCGCTGACCGGATACCATCAGCAACAGCCTACTGTGTCAGAGAACTAATCAACCTTTAGCTGAAGAGGAAATTAGGGAAGTACTCTGAAGATGAATCGGACATATAATATGGTAATCGTCAAAGTGCATCATGAGGCATACTCTAACTTGAAATCCTAAAGAGAAAGGGAAAAGAGAAAGATCAAAGAACACGTGCCATCAGGAGTTGGAGGCGAACATCAAAAGACTGAATAGCAACTGGAAACAACTAAAAAGGAGGGTCTAGGACAGAGTTTGATGGAGAATCCTGGTGGGCGGCCTATGCTACTCCACGAGGAGTAACAGGCGCAAGAAAATAAGTAAGACTCGGAGCAAAATCCCCATACATTTAACTACATGCTGTTTTACTATAAAGCGATGTTTATCCTTTTCTTTTATGTTTACAGAACTACTCACAGTACAAACTTTCTCAACTAACATCAGTAGAGATAACGAGGAGATAAAGAAAAACTGAACTACTAAGAACTGCATCAATAATGAGAATGTAAAAGCCAATGAAATGTTTTTGTCACTTTTCCGCTCTATTCAGAGTATTGATAAATCAGTAAGAAAAGCGACGATGTTTCAACTATCACAGATGTAAACACACAGTGCCTTCATATATAGGCGTGTAAAAAAATTTACACCTTAAATTTCCATATTATAAAATACATATCATACTGTATGATGCGCAACCGGTACATTTATTTTGCCATGGTTGCTCACTGCTTAAAAAGTCTAGATAAAATTAAGCCAATGTACTAGATAAGCTAATGGGTATGTAATATTCAGTAAAAAGATTTTCAAAATGATAACTTCGAACAGTAGTTTTAAAGTAATTTTTCCTACCTCCCGTTTTTAAAATAAGCATTTTGAGCAAATATCTTAAATTCTACTTCACATTTAATAATCTGTGCTGCTAACTGATTCTTTTTTTTCTTAGAAGATTTCATCTATTTGGAAATAAACTACTTCTGAAAATTAAAATAAAGGTCACTTCTGTATTTTCAAGAATACAGTTGAGATTGAACTTTATTTTCACTAAACGAACAAACCTTGATTACTGTTTCCAGATGTAACACCGGTCAGAAGTGGAATGCCTGTCAAAAAGAAGGTTGAAAAGATTGAACTGAAGAAAACGGAAAGGGAAACATAAAAGAATTGAGGATCGGAAGAGTCATAAAGGATGTAGAGGACAACTGATGGAAGATGTGCGAATAAAGTATTTAATGTATGGTTTTCATAATTTACGAAGGCATTCTGTAATTTTGCACTCAACAACAAATTGGTTATCTTCACCAATTTTTCGTTTACTACATACTAAGAAAATGGATATTATCGTAACAGTAATCAGAACGTCAAGTGATTAGTACATACTTGTGTTCGCATGTGATTGTTCACCTTCACATTCAGTGGTAGAATGCTCAGATACATCCATGCAGTTAAAACCATCCACATCAATTTGAAGAACTTTATTGTCCCATTTCGGTAATGTCACTGAAGATCCCGGTAAAGTAGGTAAATTGTGTGTTATATATTGTGTTGATTCGTTTGGACACATATTGAAATTATGTCGACAATTCTCTCCAAAACCTTTTGCACATGGCTTATTCTGTAAACAACAATTACACTAAAATCTTTGAACTGTAAATATTTAATGGACTTTATGTATTAGATGAAGAAAATAAAGTGTAATTTAATTAGAAATGTAAACAATTAAGCTTGTTCAACATGAAACGAAAGTGTTTCTTCATCTTATTTTTAATGATTTCTTCAAAAAGAAGTGATATATTTTAGTTTTCTTACCAAAGGTTTGATAGTTTTAGTTCAGTACCGTAGATATGTTTAGGTACATATGTTTTGAATTTGTTAATATCAATAACTACTTAGCTAAGCAACAGAGTATTTGAAACTCATGTAATTTTTATACCCATGAGATTTGCTGAGATTGAGGAAGAAAACATAGTATCACGGTTGCATTTATGGATTCGTAAATGTATCCGAAGGTAACTTATCAAAACATACTTATATGATAGTTTATTAACGTAACATACATATAAGAATATTACTCTCTATTAAAGAGGCAAATGCTACTGAAGATAAAACTGTTAAATTTGGTTAACTGTTTAGTTGAATTAGTTGACTTGCTGTCATGCCACACATTATTCATCGTGAATTATGTTCTGTATTTTAGTAGGAAGCAGTGAATAGTCACTCATAAAACGAAACTCGAACAGAATTGATAGGGATTTGAACGTAAAGTGTTAATGGTGTATAAAATAAGACCGTATCATTTTTTACTACTACTCCTTTAAAGCAGTCTTAATTTACTTGACATCGGATTTCAAAACTTAAACTTGTATCAAATAAAAATTATGGTACCAATGAAATCTGCTCATTATTGGATTTACAGATTGTAATGAAATGTTTCACTTTCATTGAAGTGAAGAGCTAGTAAGAACGAAATTTATTATCAATTTTTTACGTGAACCTGTTACTAGTAAATAAAATACAGTTTCTCATATCCCTAGGAGATTTTTTATTATTCATATATCTTCATGTCAGCTACAAGCTCAAATACCGATAAGTAGAGATATTATGGTTTTAGTAAAATGATGAAATACTTTCCTGAAATCAGTTATTTTTACTCACCTATCATGCAACCGATATTCTTATCATAAACATCCTTTAATCCATTACACCTCTCCCAGTCAATGCTAATGCTTAAACAAGTAATTATATATATATATATATAAATATATGTATATATATAAACTACATTTGATGGATGGTGATCTATTGTACATTATAATTTAACTATATTCAGTAATATAAGGCTTCATGTTATAGGAGGACCCTAAACATTTTTATACAGCTTGTATATCCAAGCTTACTGATCTTGTCATGATCACCAAGGATAAATCTCTTTTTGAATAAGCGAACACAATGAGTTCATTGAAAGCCATAAATAAATTATTTATGTTGTATCTTTATGATCCTAACTTTTGGAACTCTCTCATCTTTATGTTTCTACTGAACTGAACATATTTCTTTCGTATCGTGTAGTTTTTCAATTACTTTAAAAACCCCTTCAACATTTAAAATCACAATTTGTATGGCTGTGAGGGGTTTAAAGATAAATAACTTACACTGGTAATTGGTAATCCTGTTATTATACATTTATTTGAAATCGGGACTCCATCTTGTTGATGTGAATCAAACAAATAAACTGAATTCACTGTGGGTTTTTTCTGTAAAATATCGGTTGGTATTAAGTCACTGTAATTTCTATATGGGATAGTATTGAGTTTTGGCAGACGTTTACTAGAACTTCCACTATCTGTATTACAGTTAATATATGAAGCTGTAGGTAAAGTGGTATGAGTAACCAATTTCGGTGATTCACATGATTTAGAATTAGTAGATTTATTTACGAGAGTGGAACAACAGCAACAGCATTCATAATAACACGAATCTGAATTGTTTGGGTGTGAAACACAAATATTTAATAGGAAGATAGATAGAAATGCAAGCAATAGACCAGATACTATTAGATCCAATAGTTCAGCTAGATAAAGAAAAGTTGGATAATATGAATAGAGATCTGAGTCTAATAAGTTAAAATTAATATGTCAAAGGATATAAAAAATTAAAATAAAAAAATGAGTATTGAAATGGCGAGTCATTTATTTTATGATATTTATTTTCAGACGAATTAAACAATCGTTAATGGAACGAACAATAAACCGTTTTCCATCTCAATAATGTTAATCACTTTCTCTTTAGTAAAAAGCAGTCCAAACCGATCCTTGAGATGTTGAAAATAAGGTATATCGAACGGAAGTATTCATCTTTTTCAACAGTTTGAAAAATTGGCTATAATTTATTTTTAATGTTCTGTAATTAAAAAAAGTGAATATATGAAAATACTTCTTAAACCAGGTCACAGCAGGTTCTTCCAATTTTTTAATATTTCCACTTTTTTCTACATTTAGAGTCCCTTATACCAAAAAGTTACAGAAAACGTGCGTCATGTATCTGATTTCCAAAAATACCATAACATTTTAACGGTGATAAGTGGATAACTACGTTTGTCATAATGACATTACAAAATGACATTACTATTTTATAAAGATGGTCTACATGATTAATTGCCATCAGTTGAACAATTGTTTTGGTGCTCCTTAGTTTCGCTATTCAAGCTAATTAAAAGAGAATGCAATCGAACTCGGTATATCTTAGATTGGCTAATAAATGGGTATATGAAAAAGTTTACATGATTTTACCCTAAAGAAGACTTCCGTTTAAATGTAATTTGAGCTACCTATTAATCCACTACGAAGAACAGGAATATATCTTGGTTCAGCGTTTTTCATGTTGACTCGGTGATTACTGTCTAGTAAAATAGGTTATATATATGCCAATCGTAAGCAGAAAAGATAAATAGTGGATTTTAAATTCACGTATTACTTGTGAAGTAGAGACAGAAATAGATTATAATCTCTAACCAAGTTATTTAATTTAATAAAGTTAATTTTAGATACAGTCACTGAATGATTGAAGAAGCAATACGAGTATATAATCGTATAAACACACACGTGCACATATGCAAACAGAGACACACAGTCACATAGACATAAAAATGGAGAACAAATAATATTGAACGGTCCAAATAGGAATGAGTATCAAGACAATAAATGATAAATGAAATAAAGAAATATAAATAATAATCACACTTACCGATTGGACTATAAATTGCCTGTACTGATTCCAAACGTATAAGACGATTTTTATCCCTTGTCAGCTGTATTGTAACACTGACTAATCTATTGTTCGTTTATTTTTAATTATTGTTAATTAATTATTCATTCATATAATTTGTAGTTGATTTTTGCGAATAACATTGTTGAATTATATAGTAGTTAATTTTTTTTCATTTATTAGTAATCGGAGTAAATACAGATTTATATATATTTATATACACGCACACAATTTGTCCGAATATATGAATTGAACACAGTACAATATAAAAAAGAAGAGATCACCAAAAGTAAAATATGAAATGTAGCATTAAGTAATAGAAAGTGTGAGGGGGCAATTGACTTTGATCAGAAATAAATTTTCACTCTAATCAAAGATATATAGCCGAATATAAAAATAAAATAAAATTAATAATGATAATAGTAATCTCTATTGCCCCAGATGCATTCATTAAAGACTTTTGTTTTTAATTTTTCTACGATTTGTATTGTTGTATATACCATCTTAACGAAGGGGAAACATGACCAGTATAAACAAAAAGTAGATAATAACGTCTAGAGAATGATATACTTACATAACTTAAGAACTGCTTATGTTGAACTACGAAACCTTAATAAAAAACACTTGGAATGAAAAGTTATCACAAGTAACGTAAAAATAAAAGGTGAATGAAAATGGTTAGAAGTAATATTAAAGAAGTATTGTATAGATATTTGTTAGCTATATGCACTCTCAATGTTGTTAATTTATATTGTTGTAGAGCGTAAAATATTCACAATAGAACTATCTACTACCATTATATTAGATTTATAGTTAAATATTTAATAATTACTTCCTAAAATCTGCATCTATTTACAGTATACTTGCATTGCATTTTCGAACTATGCCTAGAGCTTATCTTCTACCTAAACAAGTATTTTAAGTGGTAATTTTCAATACTGATGGTGATTTTCTAAAGATCGTTTATTTTTAACGTTAATGCCGAATGGTCTATTTGTCTTGGATTCTAGCCAAAGACAAGATGGTTATACAATTCCAGAAAATCTTTAACGAGAACTAAACAGCTGTCCAATACTGTATGACTTCTTGTAGTTCATCACATTTACTCACAACCCGTTGAAAATCAACTACGTATTTTCTCGTCCTGGCTTCCAAAACTGATCACTATAGGGTTAGCGTTCTACATGTGTAATTGCTTTAGTAATCTATCACGGGGAAGGAATGACTGAAAAGATTTAAACTAATGATCATCCCACTAGAGTAATCGTTTATTTATCCGTATTTCTTACAGCTGTCATTCATATTTTTATTGTAAGCTCATTATTAATAGATATATTCTCATACATGATTTTATCACAAAGAAGTTGCATATGTTTTATTGTCTTGACACCACGAAGAAATAGTCATATTTATCACCCACATGAAGTAAATATAGACATTATTAATTAGGTAAGAGTTAGCTGACTTGAATAGACTACCCAATTTTTTACCTCTGATTCTCCCTAAACAGTGAGTCTGATTAATTCAAACTATCCCTAATGTGCAAACACCTAAATTATTACGAATACTGTCAGTCACTTTGATATAAAGAAATTTGGATTCATGCGAGAAATGTCTCAAAAGAACTAAGATATACGTTATACTTTTCTTTTCGGTGTAATGATTTCCCCCAATTAGTGTTTATTTTATTGAAGTTAGAAATGAATGAATACTTTTGACCAAACTTTAAACATTCATGGCTTTTCAAACTCCAATGTCTTTCTCTAAAGTTTTACAGCAATCGACTAGTCGTTTTCTCCAAACTGATTTCTAATATTTTACTCCGCACATACTGAAACAATATATTTTTGTATTACCCATATATGTTTGTGCTCACTTCATTTTATTGTAGTATGAGCATAGATTGACAATCTCTGCTACTCAGAAGTTAAACCCATTAAATCTTTTCCATGTTCTTAGTGTTTTGAATATCCATAATGTAAAAGCTACTATTTCATACCACTCCTGTATCTATCCATCAAAAGAGCTTTTCCTTTGGGACACAATACACTAACCGTATCTCAATTCCGTTTTTAGAATCCACCTCTGAAGTTATCAATAAACTATTTTAATGCTTTTGTACATTTGATGAATTTACAAAACATCTTTTTTTAAGTTTTGCTAGTTCAGTCAAACAATGTGAGGAATATTTATTATATATGTCTTAAAATTAAGAAAGCCATACATCAACTTACCATTCAGAGGTGATTCAAATAGCCTTTTACTGAAACAACGACTTAAATCAGTCATCAATAAAACCTATTGCGCAGCAAAGGTCATCATCAAAGAAAGAACAAGGTGCATGCTTCATTCAAAACCTAAGGTACATGGAAACGATTGCGTCACATCCCACTGTGTTTACCAATTTAAATGTGTGTGTGGTCACACATACATAGGGAGGAGTAATCGTGATCTCAACATTAGGGTGAGTGAACATGTACCCAAATGGCTTCAGAAACAAATACAATCAAGTGACCCGATAAGAGCAGAGGATAAACATCCATCATCCTCTATTGCTAAACATATAATTGAAACAGGTCACAAGATTGATCTAAATTCAGCTTTTGTAGTGCTGTATAAAAGTGTAAAAGGGCGTATACTAAGGTTCATTGAAGCCTTAGCCATACGAAAATTCAAACCCCCTTTATGTGTTCAAAAACAGTTTGTTCTTACCTTAAACCTACCCTGGTAATATTGACTTATTATCCAGAGTGATTAGGTTTCAAATTGTGTTCACATTATTATTATTATTACTCTTATCATTATCCTTATCTCCTCTTACCCCGTTTCCTGTCTAGTTGACCTTTTATTTTTATATATAAATGCTCTTAACAAGTATATGTGTGACCAGATTGTTCGAAATGTATTGCGCTAATATATCACATAGTTCTGATAATCTTCGTCTTCTAATATCATTATCGAAATTTATCAAAGGGACTAATTGTTTTAAAGCCATAATAGTTCATAACTCAAATTTTATATCCAAACAGGACTTATTTAACTCATTTAACTGCAATAATGTTAATTACAATTTGCTTAAACTTTTAAAATTTCTTTTTCTCTAGTATAATTCTGATTCTTGTCACATCGCATTCTTGTTTTCATTTTATTTCCGTATCACATTATATTATTTCACTTTTGTTACATTACACAGTTTGGTAACTTAAATTCATATGATCTATTAATTACAAACTTCATATGATGATTAATAAAATAATGCAATTATAGAGGTGTCATCTTTTGAAAATAATTTTTCTATGAATGTTGCTACTATTCTGCTTGTTGTTATTTTTGAGGAAATGCAATTACTATACACGAATGAGCATTTTGAGAAAAATCATTTAAAATAAATGTATATAGATGTAAAAGGTTAATGGAATCAGTAGATTATAAAGACTATATATTTGCTTAACGTAACAACATATAAACAAGTTGAATCAGATCTGTAATTCTCCAGTCTGTATTGCAATATATGTATCTTGAACGGATGAACACAATAGTGCCATTTAGCCACAAATGTTTATTAAATTTGAGTAATGCTTTGAAGTAGAATTCAAGACTATACTTTTTTCCTATTTCGCATTTGAAGATAAATTTAATAGATTCAAATCATAGTATAAACATCCACAATGTAATGGAGCGATATCTAGTTGATAATACTTATATCGAACAAAATGCATATTCTGAATCTTACTACTGGCCACTGACAAATCTAAATAAAAATGTGAATTGATATTACTTCTCACTCCACTGTAAAAACGAAACTTTTTAATTCATTATAAACTAAGCATCATATAAAAACCTATTAGTAACATTTTTAAATAGAGATTATTCACTGTTATTTTTTGTTTCAATCGAACAAGTTAAATGTATGTAACGGGAAGGGGGCGGAAAAAGTTTTTTTTTCACATTCTGCACTCATTACATATGAACTGACTTTATTTTGGGGTTTCTCATTGGTTGCTTACAACTGTATTCATTGTAGAGCGTAACAGTGAGATATGACAGTATGGAGTAATCGACAATGATGACGAAAAGAATTAGAGTAACAAAGATTAACAGTGACCAAACGCGTGGATTTTCTTTGGTTTGCTGAAGCAGTAACAAATGAAAAACAAGACCAGATTTATATGTCCAGAAAGGTACAGAAATCAGTTGTTATAACCTTGGTAAATTCACAGTTTTGAATATCACCTAAACTTATCACTATTATTTTGTAATTTTGTGTCTATTTACTCATACGATCCTCACTTAAGTGACTGTTAATTCATGTACGCTAGAGCCATCCTTTCATTTATCTGTATTTTCACTCAGTCACTTATCCAAATTTATATAGACTCTTTAAATCTCATGTAAATGTTACGCAAAACACATTATCAATTTCGGATTCTAAATAATTAGAACAGTATCATTTTGTCTTTTATATATATTTTCAAGTGCCTTAAAACCACTTTAAGCTTCTCAAGTCTTCTACGAACACCAAACACACTCCATGTAATTACTGCCTAACCTCCTATCTTTCTTAAATTCGATATTATAATGACTTCACATCTACTGGTTACTCCACATTGTCGTATCTCATTGTTGCACTCTACAATGAATAAAGTTGTAAACAACCAAGAGAAACCCCGAAATAAAGTTAATTCATATTATTCTACCTCCAGTGTTGTTTTGGTCCTAATAAAATTAACAAAGGAAGCCAATGTATGATCTAAGCAATAGTTTTACGTTACAAAAATAAGGCGATATTTATATTTGTCAACTAAACCAACTGGAATACTTATATGATCAAACTGAAGAGCTTTAGAGATTTTTAGTTTAGAAACTAATCTCAGAAATAAAGATGGTTTATTATTGTTACTATATATTAATGTTTATTTACTACCTGAATCAAAGTGTGTAACTTACTACCAAACTATTCGTTAAAAAGTCATTATTATTATTATTAATTCTTTCATACTTTAATAAGTTTAACTTTTAAATTTCAGTTCACTAACAAAATGTTGAAAACATCACAAATGATAAATAAATGAATACAAACAATTTACTCACCCTTCTTCGGTGCTAGATTTTATCACCCGTGTATGAAAAACAAAATAAGAAGGGATGAAAACAAAATGTATGATTTAGTTAAATAACATAAAAATGGAGGAAATATATAAAAGTGGGTAAATACAGTTGAATTTTCAGAAAAGAAAACACTTAGCAACATTATTTTAGAAAAAGTCTTCAAAACAAAAGAAACTTTGTCAGGCATTTAGAAATATAACAATTAACAATTTAATTCTAAATAGGAACACACAAACTGTCAATATGCTATTAAAAGTATTTTCTTTAAAAACAAAGTCCATTAGATATGAATAAACTTTTTGAAATAATACTCACTTGTTTAATTTGTGAATTTGCTGTTTTGTATGCAAAACAAACCATAGTTTAATATATAATCAAATTATGAATACATCACGTTTTTGTGTACATCCATTATTGTGTACAACTGAAAATACTCGCCAAAGTCATCAGCTTCATTAAACATCCAATGAAAGTACAAATTAAAATTGACAAACAAGTACTTTAGAATGTAATTTAATCCCATCATTTATGAGGACGAAATTGGAAGTGAGTTTGTTTACGTAATTTAAAAGATCTCTAATAAATCATTCTACAAATCTTTTGTAGTCTATCTCAATACATTTAGTTAATAACCAAAAGTGTCGTTTATAGAAAGTATAAGGTGACTTACATCAAAATAAATGAGTTCAGATTATTATAAAGAGGCTAGACATCACTAATTATTTAATGAAATGAATTTTTCGGATATCGTTACACATAATAGTTAAGCAATCACATGTTTGATACACTGGTTTAAACTCCAAAGAAATGTTACCAATTCCTTCGCTTCTGAGAGCATATTTTGTCACTTTGCTTAACAATAAAATTATCACAATACAAATATGACTACAGATCAACAACCTTTCTTGAAATGACTATCTCAAAAAACAAATAATTTTTATGGTTACCTACCTGATCAAGCTATCTGGTTTAGTGTTTAAACTAGCCCGCTTAATTGGGACAGTTTCAATTAATTCACGGTTATCCAAAACTAATTTAGAAAACACTGTTCTTAATTGTTTGAACTGCGAATCGGTAGCTAGAAGAACAGCTTGAAGACTGGCTATATCTTCACTGGCAACAATTAACTGTGATTGTTCTAACTGATTTTCCCAACTAGTATCGTTGTATATTAATTTGTTGTTAGTTTGCTTGCACTGATTTGTTTTACGTTGTAAATCAAGCATTGTCACATCAGAAAACAGGTCGTTGTGTAATAATTGATTAGCGAGACGATCCAACTCATCGACGACGTTTAAAAAAAACAGACGAACAAGATGAATGTGAAAATCTAGTCCTGGGACTAATGTTATATCTCGAAACAAAATGCTTTGTCTAAAAAGGCGGACAAATTCCTTTCCTAAACGGCTAACCCTTTCTAGCATACGCGAATGTTCTTCACTATCCATACATAATCCGTTAGATTGATCTGAAGGATGTTTATTTGTTGATAGATGTTCGCTATCCCAAAGCATTAGGTCAGTAGCTTCTAAATTGAATCTATGTTTTCTATGAACTTTATAAACTGTACGTTCTACTGTCTGTAAATCCAAATTTAAACTTTGTAAAAGACGAGAAAGTTGTCTTAACTGTTCAAATGCTGTACGATTAGCTTCGCGTAGAAATGCCCATGTTTGAAGGAGTAAGCCATCCTGAAATAAAACGTGTATTCGAAAGAACACTAGATATTGATCTAATGATAAATATATAATGTAGTTCAACAAAAATACATGTATACACTATTCTTTGAATTTAAATAAAATTAACTATAATAATAATACACGTTTTTAGAGAAAGTTATCTTATGCTCGGCAGTCAACCGACAATCTTGGATTTGACTTTAGCGTGCAGTGTCGTGGGTGAGCAATGCTGAAGAGTCCCTTGCCAAGACGAAACGGTGGCCCAGTGCCTCCAGGTTTCCGACAGTTTTCTGACTGATACTATATCCTGGTTTCAGTGACATTCCCTTCTCCTTAGCTGTGTTTAAAAAGCTGCACTGATTTAAACTCCATGCTAAGTTGGTATGTGTTTTATAAATTCTTTGATCAGAATCTAAAAATTATATGTTAGGTAGTTGAAGATAATAGACTAGAGATTCTAGCTGGCTTATTCCAGTGTAAAAATATGTCTATGTGCTATGTTCACTTAGTCTCAGAACGGAACGAAGACTGTTACACAATAACAGATAAGTTAGCTATCAGACATTACATGTCATATATGGTGAAATGGGAAACAAGATGAGAGATAAATGGCCACTAATATGACGATTGTTTTGGCTTCCTTAACACTCCATGTACTACAATAACGCTGTAATTGTTTTTTGAAAACATTTTCACGAAGAATTCATTTAGTTTAAAGTAGATGGTTTTTCATAAAGTAGATAAAATGCTGCAGTCCCTTTCTAGTTGCAACATTAACGACACTCAAGAGCATTAAAAGTTGAATTGATGAGTCGACCTACGTTAGACCACCATTAGAAACCTGGAATTACTGGGCGGCCGTCTGGTCCTGGTATGGGACTTCTCGGAAGTACACATCCATGATCTCTCACGCAAACCTTGAATCCTGGACCTTCGATCTCGCACGTGAACGCTTATGACATGAAATATTCAGAATTATTTACCAGCTTTTATGAGTATTTAGTTCTTTAGTTAAAACAATTAAAAAGGAGAATAATGAACACATAAACTATTTCAGTTCAATGTACAAAAGCGTTTATTGCTCCGTGTTGACGGTTTAACGACTTATTAGGAAGTAAAATAGTAGTAATATTTTGAAATATCGTTTGTAAAGAAACAAATCATCACGGATATTCTTTTTTGTCCTTACGATGATATTATATTATTTCAAGACTGCTGAACAAAAATAGTTTTCAAACACTTTCATTCAGAAATATTTATTAAACAAATTCTTAGGTCCTGTAGTTTATGGATAAAAGTTACTGTTATTGGTCAAACAGTTATATACAGGTATTTTTTTAGAGATGCACACACCTGTTATAATCACCATTTTCTTTTATTTCCCACCATAAACTTACTTTTATGATTGAAATGTTATCAACATAAAACGTACAATGTAACATTAATGGTACAATTCACCGAATTCCTAAAGGAGAGCCACTAAACCTCTAAGTAAACATCATTCAAACGGAAGGGATAGTTGCTTATTAATTTTTATCTATATGTTAATCCAAATAAAATTGTGGTTTAATTATCAAAAGTAAGACAAAATGTTTTTAGAAATCAGTACATAAAAATTTTGAAAAGTAACATAGTGGTTAATTAACTTCATAAATTATTGTAAAAACTATTATTCTGACCATCCACAGAACTCGCTTACACACAATGGCTAAGAACATTTAAACAATAAAAAAACCTATAATATATCGTATTTACTGAATTTATTTTTATCTTCATGAATTCAACTTGTAGATAAGCATTAAAAGTCAAATCAATCCCTTTCAAAAACAATGCACCGAATGAAATTAGGATTAAAAATTAGCTACAAGTAGTTATGACCAGGTGTAGTCTTAGTCTAAAGATTTCCTATTTCTTAACATTAGTTGCTAAACCTGTGCAGTATTTTTCTCGAGCTGTCAATACGTTAAAATGTAATGATTTTAAATCCTAGTTGATGTGGATAAATATCAATATAATAGTACTGTCTGAATTTTTCGACAGCACTGGAAGACAATAACAAACTTTCTTTATTTTCTATCGCTTACTCTATAAAAACTAATTAAAACAATAATATGATGAGAATTTGTCAGAGATAAAAATGATTAGATAAAGTAATTTCTAATACAAAACAGTAACCTACCCAAATCTCTTTTCTGTAAATATGCAGAAATTGTTCCGATTGATTTATATTCAATTCTTTAGAGTTTTTATGATTATTGTTATTAGGATCATAATCACTAATGTCATCAGAAACAGTTGTCAATTTTTGGTTTTTCGATATAATTTTGTTATTAAATTGTTGTTGATCAGTAAGTAGTTGAAAATTATTGTTTGATTGAAAGTTGGTTTGATTTATTTTAGTAAATAGACTTAGAGAATGTGTAAATAATAATGGGGATTTCAATGCTTGTGTTATGGATTCTACCGAATAAGATATCGCTTCACAGGGATTATGACATCGACATTGAACTGGTGATAGAGATTCTATGGTGTGATGATAATGGCAGTTGTGTTTAGAAGAAATGAAAGGAACAATTAAAAAAAGATCAATGCAGTATGTCAACTAAATATAGTATAATTTCAAATAAAGTTTCATGTGATTGCTCGAAAAAACATTTCATAGAACAATGAGTTTAAACAGGAATCCTTAAGTTTTTATGTGGTATTTTTCAATAACCTGGATAATTTTTCATTACACAAAACAATGTGTAAGACATTACTAGATTAGATGCAAGAAAATATATGTAACATAGGCAGAATCAGATAAATAATAAACACAAAACACAAGAATAGAGAGAAGGACTTATTTAAAGTCGCTTTGTCTCTGCCCATCACATTAAAAACCCAGGTTCAAGAAATGTTTAATTTATAAAATTAAATAAGTTTGATTTACATATACAGTGGAGAAGTAAATCAAAGTGGCTATTCGAAGGTTAAGATAAAGTAAATACTAAGTGAAAACTCATAGAAGAAAGCATACAAGCTTGGTTATATTAAAGACTATAGGATCAAGTATTTACAGAAAACAGCAGTGCAGCGAATAGTTAAATCCTCATTTATTGAAATTATAGGATAAGCCAGTTAATACATTACTTAAGATATTAATCCAGTACTTACATATAGGTTAAAGCGTACCATTAGTGATCATATTAATTCGTGTTTGTTGAGTAGTTTATACTCACCCGAGCACATATCCAAAGCAATAATTATAAAATTTACTTGTGACTGTTTCAGCAAGCACCAAAACGGATTCAAAGTACATGAATTATGGCCTGATATCGCATGACATGTTATTAAAATCTCAATAATGTTGTTGCACATCAACTATCTCATTACACGTACTGTCTACTAATCAGTCTAAACCTAGAATAACTGACAGTCTGTTACATGATAAAAAGCCTAAATTGGAGCAAGTTTTATTGACTGGGCTTGGCGTTTTTCTGAACTTGGTTATTACTTCCTTTCATTATACTAGAGCTGACAAGCGGATGCATGTGGAATACCTAGCAATGACAACAGAAAGAGCCATAAGAAAAGGAATATATGAAAACCAAATGATACAATCGAAAAACTAGCAGGAAAATGTAACAAACCAGAGAAACCAATCGAAATCAAAGAAGATAAACCAAACACTGGGATTAAAGAACAGCAGAATAGGTGGTTAAAACACTTTGAAAAACTCTTACATAGATCAGCCTCACGCACCCACCGGATATCAAAGCAGCAACACAGATCTTCCTCCGAGGAAGTAGCTTACACTGAGTCACGAAACGTCAGAAAGTCTAATTTTTCTACTCACTGGGATATTGCAAATACATTGTTTTTGTTTAGAACAATCTACCCAATACTCAGTTTATTTGAAATTATCAAGCTGAACCTTGGTGATGATACCTATAATCTAAATTCCATTTATGTGTATATTATTTATAGGTATTTGACTCTACTGGGTCTAGTTCTATATTTTACATGATTAGTGCACTGGTTCGAATAAAGCTTTCTAGAACTTTACGTCACTGTTATAACTTTCAGATTCAACTAATCAACAGATTATGATCAAATAAACTATTTTCATATATGTCCAAACTTTAGTGAATTCCCCTTCGGTAAAAGTTGATAGTGATCTAATAAATTAACAACCGAGTGACTTTCTTCCGAAATTTCCATCTAAATTAGTTTAAATATTTTTTATTGAATGAATATGTACTATGTCCATACTCTCAAAAAGGTATAGATTCAGGTGAATAGTCACCAGTATCAAAAAAATGTTTTGAATACATCCAATGAATTTAAACTAAAATGGTAGCAATAAAACAGCTTTTGGATTATTCTCTCGAAATGTTTTGCAACTTTAGTGAGTAAAACAGTGACCATTGTGTTAAAGATGAGTGGTTGTTGAAATGAGCAAATTTAGGTCATGATTACTCAAATAAGTTATTTAAGCTCATTAATACACAAAGTTATCAACATTCTAGTTAGATTTCTGTAACTTTTAACTTTAATAAACAAATCTGACAAATCCTTATATCCTTTCAACACATTACAAATTATGAATTAAAATCCAGTAGCCTTTTTTTACAAAATAATAAAAATGGCAAATAATTCTGAAGACTTCCCATTCTAGAATAATGTTTTCATTCTCAGTATAATTATCGACAAATAAAAAGACTCAAAATAGATGCTTCTAGATGAAAATATAATGTACATACAATAATTCTTGAATATAAGAATGTATAGGTACATCATTCATTATTCATATGTGAATATAGTTTTCCATAGTCGCAATCATCTGGTAGGTAAATTTAGCCGAAATATATCGATCTCTTGGTTTAGATTGCCTTACAAAAAATATTTATATATAAATTCAAACTATGATTGGTAGCTTTCTGTATCAGAAGTTCAAGGGACACTAATTAAACATACTATGGAAGAAGCAACTCAAACAGTTGTTAAGCTTAATGATTATAATTATTCTCAGACAATGCAGTTATGTTAGCTGATGAGTATAACATGTTCAAAACCTATCTCTATATCCTTAGACTCCGTATGTGAAACCTTCCGATTATTGAAGAAACTATCATTTCTTTATGACTTCTACTGTTTTCACGTTTGATTTTTTCAGTCATTGAGACATAAGAGCTTTATATAATGCGAAACCATTTCTGCCTAAAATATTTATGCCTAGTCTCAGCGTTAGCCACATTCTACATAATAATGAAAAGTAGTTTAAATTATCAAAAAATACATGGACTTAAAAATAACTTATAGCTTTTTATTATAATCTAGTAATGATCAAACGTTTTGACCATCATTTGTTATATTTAACATTAAAAGATAAACAGATTCGCTAACATTGTTATATTTCTTATTACAGACTGAAGAAGAAATTAGAGTTGATAAATACAAAGTTAATTACTACTCGATTCTCAAATAAACACAAAAATAAAGTCAAATGAAATTCAGTAAATTTCCACGCAACTTATTCATAGATCTCTCTCCGAATTCAATATTGAAGGTCCATATTGATCCACTGTTGAACGATAAATAAATAAAAGGTACTAGGTTCAATTGTTTTTAAAATCGTGCTGCACAACGTTTTAGCAGCCTAGCCTGTGATATTTTCAGACTTGTTACCTGAATATAAAAACAACTATTTATCGTAACTTTCTAATGCTTCTAAGACTGAATATTATTTCTTGAAGTCATTAACTTCGTTCCTCAATATAAAGAACATAAAATTACCTCGTCAAAGTTATCAGTCTTGAAAAAAAGCCCATTGTCATATTAAGAAAATAGAAATTTTGATTCTTGGAAATCCAATTTATCGCTTACAGTTTAATAATTAAAGGTTAGTTAGGTACTCATTTTAATCATATTAGTGTTCACATTAAAAAAACAAGTTTTAACACAAACAAACGTGAACATAAATTCATTTGATATTGTTTGTTTTAATCTTGCCATTGATGTTTAGGACTGAAATTGATCAGTCTCTTATTGGTATATGTGCATCCTATGCGGATTACCTCGATATTGCCTTAATTCACAAGCTTAATAAGCAAAGGTTACATAAATAAATGGGCCGACCCGCATGAATAAGTTGAAATGAAAACATATGTAGTTAACAGCAATTTACGGATAAACGTGAAATCGTTTTCACTTATTATGGATTACCAAAATAGAATGCTGCAGTGTGCTTAAAGATAGAAAAAGATGTATTCTCGGTGAAGATAAAATGAAAACCAGATAAAAGGATTGATTAACTGGCTTCATCATAAAAATAGAGCGTCTGTAGTTCGTAAGATATGACTCATTGCATTTCACGTAGCACTTATAGGACTGTCAATTTCACTAAAATAAGAATGAAATGCAATAGACACCTCCATTTTTAACAGACTTTCTTAAATTACACCTTTTTATTTCAACTGTAATTACCACTTATTCTGTTAAGTTATTCACTGTTAAATTACTGTTTCGACATGTACTATTGAGGCCCTTTAAAGCTTCCAAACATAAAAGAAATCTTTAAAAAATCATAAAACCGTGTAACATTTATAAATGTAGAAATAATTGACTCACCGATCATTGAATTCATAGTTAATCCACATTTCATCATTTCAAAAACAGTACAATCTGTAAGACAACAAGGAATTATCCACTACTACAATAACGAAATAAATAATTTTTCAAGAACTTTTTCGAGGACAAAATTATGATTTCTTGTCACAACAAAATGTTTATAATAATAGTTTAACAATGGTCATTCACAATAATAACAAAATATTATGTCTTGTTTAGAGGATAACAATTTTCTATATCCAAGCATTTGATTTAAAGCCGTATTAAGAATATAAGGTATAGAAAAATTTGTTGGCATTTAGATAATTCCAAATTGAATTTAATAGCATTGAGAGAAGCTACTCAATGACGAATTACTAGTTGATTGCTTTCATACAAAAATTTGTAAAATACCGATTATCCACGATATTTCTTATTTCTTATGTAATATTTTATTAAATCTCTTGTTTATTTTCATACAAACATAGACTTTCTTCACTGTTTATAAACTGTACACTCAACTGTTTCTTCTCATAAAATACCAAGATGTAAACAAATCTACTAATAACCAATGAACTTAGCGCACAAATGGTTGTGACTGTCAATGTGTAAACTGTGGTTTAAGAGAATGAAAGTTATATAAACCTATAAATAGAAGTCGGAGTTCGTTTACAATAAAATACGTATTTGGTTATCACAAAAAATCAAGATACAGTCGAATAAAAGTATTTGTCAAGGAAATATTTTAACAGTATGTTAATTAAACTGGAGTACATATTTATTTTCTATTCTGGACACAAAACAGATACACTGTTAATCTTTAACGAAAACAAAATTAATAGGTTACAAAGTGGGAACATCTCGAGAAACAATGCCAAACATTTGAACTTTTTTAACACACAGAGAGAAGCAGGTGATGAATGGAACAATGTACAGACAAGAAATACAAAGGAGAAAACAAGAATTAACAGAATGATAGATCAATATTTATTATCGATTAAATGACATAAAATCACTCATCTTAAGTGGCGGACTCACAAGTGTAGAAAAAGTAGGGAAAATTCACTAAAAATGACATTTGAAACATTCATATTTCATAGTTAATATTTTCTGTTTGATACATTAAACTTGTGACTAAAGCATTTATAGAATGTTGCATATGTTGTAATTTTTGCAAAATGTACTTAAATTATATGACAAGTGTTCTCAGATGCCTGATACACCATTTGCTTTCTAGTCATTATCGTATGAGAATAATATTTCAAAGATAGATCTAAGTGATCAAAAATATCCCGTCTCTTTACATTTATCAGACTTGAAGGTTTCATCATAGTTACATACATTTTTCTTACTTCTATGACCACTCACGTTGAAAAGTTACTTTAAAAGTTCAAATGATTAGACTTAGGATGTCCGTCCAAATTTATTTATTAAAGTAAGTCGATACTAAACTGCATACGAACGTCCACAATCGATTCGTATAACAGATTAAAATAAAGATTAATTTAATATTACTCAATTACAGAACCTGATTAACTGAAAATCTGTGACAATAAAAACATTTATCTATAATGTGGATATCCGGTTTGATTTCTCATCAACTTTCATTATTCATCTAGCCATTTACTGAAAGTTAAACCAACTTCAGTAAGCAGTGCTATGTCTTTATCTACTAATTTGTTGAATTTTTCTTCTAAATTATGCCAAATTATCAACATTTATGGTGTTATATTTATAGGTCTTCACAGAAATTTTGGAATCTCGTGACAGTTTACTGCCATATTTTGCTTTCAAACATATGCAAGTTCTATATAAATGTTTACGTGTTCAGGATTACTTACATGTTGGTACAATTATTATGAGTGATTTTTTGTTGCATTTCACATAATACTGGATCGAGTTACATTAAAACACATACCTTTCAGTCAGTCAGTCAGCTACAACGTAGGACCAGGCACATATGTGCATCGGTCCAGGTTGCCATACCTCATTAGCACAGCAAGATGAACACCGGATTCATAGGAGTGGTTAGGTCAAAGGTTGCAATAAGGATATAGTATAGGAAGAAAGAATTAGTTCGTAGAAAGAAAGATATGAAGTGATTTTAATCTCTTAGTTTAAGGGAAGACAGGGAGTGTATACACCGACGCCATTGTGATCGATTCTGAGCCATGTCACCAAGAGTCTCCAACCATTGGTTACGAAAGTCACGCGGACCCCAACCAAGTAGTCTGCATCTACCAAGTAGTCTGCATCTACCAACATGGCTGAGACTAGAAGTTAGTGACTTCAGGCACTGATGCCACGTTTTGGTTTGGCCGCCCCTAACTATCTTCCAACCATCCCCTACACCGGTTAGCATTGCACGTCGTGGTAATCGGTGTTCAGGCATACGTAATACGTGGCCCAACCATCTCAGTCGATGAAGATTCATAACCTCATCAACTGATTTACCATCATTCCCTAATACCCTGCGTCTAACCTCACTATTACTTACCCGGTGATCCCAGCAGATGCCAGCAATATTTCTAAGGCATCTGTGGTCAAATACTAGTAGCTTACGGGTGTCTTCTACTCTTAAAGGCCATGTTTCGCTGCCGTAAAGTAAGACAGAACGGACTGCCGCGCAGTATACTCGTCCTTTTATTGATAGACGGATATCTCACCTCCGCCAAAGGTGACGTAAGTTGGCAAAAGCCAAACGAGCTTTTCGAATCCGTGCTGAGATTTCGTCAGACACCAACCCATTAGGGCTGATCAGACTTCCAAGATAAGTGAAGTTGTCGACGCGTTCGACTACTTCACTCCCTATCCTTAGTTCAGGTGTTGACGCAGACCAGTCCTGAAGCAACAACTTGCATTTAGAGGGAGAGAAGCGCATCCCAAACATTCTGGCATTGTTGCTTAGCGCTACCAGAAGACTCTGCATTTTGTCAGCGTCTTCACCAAACAGGACTATGTCATCTGCGTATTCTAAGTCGATAAGTGGACCTCCTGGAAGGAGATCAATACCCGAGAATTCAGTCGACGAGAGTGTTATTTCCATCAATAGGTCTATGATGAAGTTAAACAAAAATGGAGAAAGTGGCCAGTCTTGACGGACACCACTTGAAGTTGCAAAAGTAGATGACAGTTCGCCATAAGCTCTGACTCGACCAGTAGTGTTCGAGTAAAGAGCCTTCACAAGGTTTATGTACTTCTGAGGTACGCCTTTCAGTGACAGACACTGCCACAGAGTCTCGCGGTCTACAGAATCAAATGCTGCTTTTAAGTCAAGAAAGACCACCATTGTCGGACGCCGATAGGTATGCCTGTGTTCTAGAACCTGACGAATGGTGAATATGTGGTCGATGCAGCCACGACCAGGTCTAAAGCCAGCTTGGTTCTCTCGAGTTTGTAGTTCACGAGTCTTAGTTAGGCGTTTGATAATTATCGAGGCCAGTATTTTAGATACTATGTTTGTTAAACTAATCCCTCTGTGGTTGTCACAGGATGATTTTGACCCTTTCTTATATATTGGGACGATAAGTGATTGCGACCAGTCAGATGGGATAAAGTCTAATTCCCAGATCTTAGCTAAAATATTAGTCAACCTAATCGCTAAAATTGGGCCACCATCCTTAAAGACCTCTGGAGCCAATCCATCTGGACCAGCTGCCCTTCCTCGTTTCAGATTAACTATAGCCTTTTGAACTTCAGCCAGAGTTGGGGGACCTACTTCAATGTTCCATTCACACTGTCTGGGAATAGAGGGTAGTTGTACAGTAGCTGAAGGCCAGCTGAACTGTTCTCTAAAATGTTCCGCCCATCGTTCTAAACGCCTGGACTGGGAGCAGATGAGAGTATCATCTTTTTCCGAAATAATCTCACTTACACTTGACTTATTAATTCCAGTTTCTTTTATTAGTCTGTAAAGCTGTCTTGTGTTCCCTATAGTCGCCGCCTTTTCCATCTCTTTTGCTTTCGTTACCCACCACTGCTCACGGTCGTTCCTTAGACTTTTTCTTAACCTAGATCTGATTTGTTTTCGCTCTTCATCATGTTCAGAACCTGATGGGACGAGTTTACGAGAATCCATCAGTGTGACAGACCTTGAAGAAATCCACTGGTTCCTTGCAACTCTGTGGTTTAAGTCACTAATAGATGTCACTGCTGTTTCCACAGCTGATTGTATGCCCTTCCAAGCAACATCTGGGTCAGCCTCGTCTTCACAACTACCTAAGTGTGACCTCAGTTGTTCCTGGAATCTACTTTTGATTTTCTCGTTACTCAACTCAGTTCTGACGGGTCTTTTTAATGTGGCTTTTTTGCGTCCAGTGAGGCGCAAGCAGATGCGTGCCCGTATTAGGGCATGGTCGGAGTCCAAGCAGGTACTCCAGAATGAGCGACAATCTTCTACCGACCCTCTCCAACGATGACTGATGGCAATATGGTCTATTTGAGTCCATCGTTGGTTTGGTGTAGGGGGTCGCCATGTTAGACGATGTCTCTCCTTATGCTTAAAATTTGTGTTTGCTAAAAATAAACGATTGTCTGAGCATAGCTGCAGCAGACGATCACCATTATCTGTTCGCTGTGTCGGAACACTGAAATATCCACCCAAATGCCTTTCTGTTTGGTTTAAGCTACCTATCTGAGCATTAAAATCACCTGCTACGAGTACTATGTCTGAGCGTTTAGCTTTCTGAAGAAGTTCGGACAGCTTTCTGTAAAATTCATCTTTCACTTCATCTGAGCTGCAGTCAGTGGGAGCGTAGGCAGAAACGACAAAAAAGGCAACGACGTGTGTCCCTATCCTTCCGAGTTCTTACGTAGCCGTTCAGCCGAACGGCACATAAACGACTGTTGACGGGGATCCACTCTAGCAGTGCTTGTTCCGCCCTCATGCTTAGTGCTATGCCTACACCTGCCAGTCCACGAGAACTTGCCATCGGGTCACCAGATACACATACCTTTAGTAAAACTAACCTAACAGAACATCAATTAAATACAGCAGCATATAGTTTACTAAACGTTTTACAAAATATGGTGAAAATAAAACTTAAGACATTGGAATGTGACTGAAGAAAAATGAATAACTATCAAAATGAATCAGTAATTTTTCTAATTAGAAGTCGGTAATAATAATGCAAAAGTTCATAGTTTTTCACAGTTTTAACTATATTAACTGAGAACGTTTTGTAATGTATCTGTTTAAAGTAATTATGTATAATCATTTTTCATTCAATATAGGAAATAAGAATATTTTAAAAAAATATGCTCTAGTCAGTCATTATTGAATTACATTACAATAATATGACATGTCTAATAATTTAAGATAAATGAAATAAAAATAATTATGCAACACCTATACATGAAATGCATAAGTGGTTTCCCCATAAGTATATGTTTTTGGTAAGTTCAGTTAGATCAAATTTAGAAATATAGAACCATTCATGAACTGGATTTCTTGTTCTTGTTTTAATTATGAAACATAAAAATATTTTAGAGTATTTATACGTGGTTAGTGGCATTCAATTTAGTCTACAATCAAAAGTGTTAAATTTCATAACATTTTGTAAATAATAATCCTGTGACTCAGGAATTCAGTAATCTGATATATAAATATTGAGCTTCTGACTCGAATATTATCACACTATTTCAATGGAATATAGCTTTAATGCAATTGCAGTGACAGAAGCTCATTTATTCTTTATTTTCTTCTAACTTGTAAGTTCCAAAACTATTACCAAAAGACGTTCTATTAGCTAATTTCATTTGTTTAATTAGCCACAACTACTAATATTCCAATTTGAGCTCCTAACTCCTTGTTTGTTTTTATCTTGGACTTTGTGATGGTACAACGTATAACTGAATGCGTGCATAGTAAATCCCATGGTTCAAACGACTGCCCTTCGTTATTTACTGAAATTGTACATCAAAGAACAAGTATGCTTCATATCAATTGAATAAAACCATTTGGGGTTGCATTATTGAATTCTACTTAGTTTTGAAGCTATGGATTGGTTACTGATTAATACAATGTCTACATACCAGAAATCCGAAAACTTGACTTTAAGATTTACAAATAATTACTAGTTTTTCATAAAACATTATAATTGATTTTAATTCAAAATTAAGATTGTTATGACAATTACTATTATTATTATTATTGTGACTGCCGTTAATAAACAATGAAATTCAATCAAACAAAAAGCAAAAGAAACGTGAAAAGCGAAAATCTAACCTGGCAATTGACAATGACATTTTTCTAATAACATTTCTTGCATGCAATCATGCATACAGCTAGCCCAGATTGATTGACTTGTACAATGTTGTTTATAAATCTATAATACAAAAAATCAGACTTGAAAATGAAGAAACAAGTTATCTGGAAATATATTTTAAAAAATAAACCACACACAGATGATGCACCAAGGTGTAAGGGAAATTCTGAAAAGTACTAAGCAGAAATTTTCAAAATTCCAATACAAAAAGTCTCTACAATCGTTTGCTAAGCTAATACTAAAAGCTTTTGTTCTGAAACTTCTTGAAAGGACTAGAACAGGAAATAAAGGGACAATTAGAAAGACTAAACATGAGCATCATTTTTACTTGTAAGTTTTAAGATGAAAAACCATTTCAAAACATTTGAGTTTCAAGTTTTTCTTAACCTCATGATTTTCAACTTTTCACAGAATGTTATATAATTAACAATCTTAATCCATACACTATATATGCTGAAATTCATAAATTTTTCAATTGTATTGACAAGCGGAAATGAGGAAAAAGCTATACGATATTAAAAGTAGGTAATATTACAATTAAGATCATTGCCATTACTTTGGTTTTTACTTTTTTCTTTACATCTATTTACACTAGAATTAATTTCAGAAGGGGGACTTTGTTTATATGATTTAACGTCGGTCTTTTTATTATTACTCTCATTATTATTGGCCATAGTTGTATTAATTCACTATGATTTACAATATGTAGCTAACAATAATAATATTTATTTCAACATAATAGAAACACATCATAGAATGTTTTGAATGATTTTTATTAAACCTTAAGAAAAAATAATAAATCAAGAGAAACTACTCATTCTTGTTTTGCCCTAAAACAACAAGGAAAATTACAATTCATTTACTCTAATTCATCCATTTAAAGAGATTATATATATATATATATATATATATATATATATATAAGGAGAGAGAGGTTTACTATGATTAACCTATAAGCACTCTATTAACTTTACAATGTGTATATCCATAATTGTATAATGTTGTAGTAAAACTTAAAATTAAAAAACAAGGTTAAAAAACGTTCATAGAAATTGATATGAATGAACCGGAATTTAATTTCAATAGAATGTCAAAAGAATATTAGTGATTTTTAATTTATTTTTATTAAAAAATCAGTCAACTTTACTAGAGAAATACATATATTATATTCTTCTACATCTCTTTGCTCTTTTCTTATAAAACCTAGTGTTGATGTAAGATTTAATGTTTACCTACATTTTTTTACTACTAGTAAGTATGTGTTTACTTTCTGTATCTTACTGTAGTAATCTAGTGATATTTTTCCTCTGGTTTTATCCCATGTACAGGAAATCAGCTTATGTCTAATAGATTTCCACTAGATGTATCGATAGATATAGGAGAATCATAGTAGGCTTGTACAATATTGTATACACATAAACATATATTATGGTCAAAGAAATATGAATCCGGGTATATAGCTCTACCTTTTGTTGCATCCTGACGATATAAAGACAAGAAACAGATGCTATGGTAACAAAGAAAAATGGTAGAGACAAAAATGAGTGTACTGGAATTCTCTTACGTGTACAATAATTATATATATATATATATATATATATATATATATATATATATATGACTTAAATTTTAAGTGTGATGATAATTAATTAAGAAAAATAGAAATAATAACATTCTTTTTTCATCCAGTTTTTTCTTCATTACAAATACATAATTTACTTTACAGCCTTTTAGTGAAATATGAGTTTTAATTGTCTAATAGATTTTTCATTTTAATAGCAGCCTGTAAAAGTGGTTAATTTAATATTCTTATTAAGTTAACCCAGTCTTCATACAGTTTCAACAGTACGAATGAAGCAAAAATAATAAAAATAATCAAAACCATACATTTTTGAGTTCTTGTTACTGCTTTAGATTATGTATTAATTTTATAGAAATAATAAAAAAACAATGTTATGATGATACTTTCAAACTCAATTTAAACAAACCAATAATGCTATATCCAAACGCAAAATTACTTCCCATTACCCAACTTTACTACAGCCAACTTTAGAATTATTAACAGTGACTATTAAAATTGTATGATATTGATATCAGTTATAATCATTAAGTTTGACTATCTACCTTTAAAAATAATCGCCCATAAAATTATATTTATACTTCTTTGACAATTTGCCTAACATATTACATAATTAGAAAGACTAAAAAGATTGCTTTATAAAATGTAGTGATATCACAGTAAAACTATAAATCATGAACAAATAACAGATAATAAAAGAATGGTTCGTTTTAGTTCGATAGTCAGTATTTACTACCAACACTGTAACTACTTGCGAAAATGTTATTAAAAGCGATTTCAAACATCACTGAGAGTGAAAACAAATTATATTAATCCAATGATGCATCATTTCGAAATTCTGAATATTTTCACAAAGTATTCATGCGACTAAAATCAAATAGACACACTTCGATCTGTTCTTCCACTTATTTTTCTCCAAAGCTTATTTCCCCCATTGATATTATCTGTTCAGACCCCAATTTTTGGTCACTCTTGGGGACCACAGAGTTTATCAGTTAGTTTGATATACATTCTTAGGCTTCGTACACTACAAAATAAACGTTCTTCAAAGCTCCAACAAGAATAGTTAATCATTTATATTATCCTGACACGATACAGCTGTAATGTGTACTAAACTCTGAAACAGTTTGACATAAACAAATATAACTATTTTACACCAAATAATTCGGCGAATTCCAAAAGTTAAATATATTCCACCGTATTTCAGAAAATGATAGCTATATTAATGTAATTATAATATCCCACATCCTCCCAATCGTGTCAATAGGTTTAGTTAAGCAAATAATTTTTACATTTTAAACATCTCTTATACCAAAAGAAGCCTGAAACAATTTTTGTTACGAATGGTAGTACTATTTCTATTGACTTAATGAGGCAAAACAAAGAATGAAATAAACGTCAGTAAATAATTCTGACTTTTGCTTGTAGTAAAACGAGAGGAGGAAAAAGCGAACAACAGGAACATATCGAAAAAAGACAGTTTATATATTTAGAAGAAATGTGATTTACAGAATACAATTATAAGCTAAGAAATGAATTCTTAGTTCTCCATAACTAATATTAATAATATATGAAATAAATTCTTTTTTAGAGCATATGCATATTTCAATCATACGCAAGCTTCAAAACCTACATTTTATGAGACATTCGATAAACCATAACATACAAATCATAACATCCTGTATATGACCACTAAATATATGAATTATGCGACAGACAGTAAATTATGGAGTTCTTCATTTGTACGATGTTTCTTATTTCATTTTGAAGCAGTGCCTTATTCTCATTAAAAACAAAAAAATATGATATTTAGTTTTAACAACACATATGTGTAGAAGGGAATTAGTCCGCTAATAAATTTAGGGAAGTTTATGAAAAAAATTGTTATTACGTCCAAAATTATGCTTTCAGATCTTTTACATGAAGTAAATATTTATGAATATCGTTGTGACATTTTTAGATAACCTAAGGGACAATACAGGTTTTAGAGCCGAATTCCACTGAGTTTCCTATTACACTATCATAATAAAATTGTGAAAAATGATGGACTGTAAAAAGAGGAACAATAATCGTCTGAAAAAATATGTAACCAAACTTACCCTAAGTTTTCCCTAAGTTATTCTTATCTTTGAAAACACGAGAAAACAAAAAAGATAATCCAGTCTTTCAAATATGCCGTATATATACATATATCGTAATAGAGAACTATTGTTTACCTCAACAACCTTAGCAATTAAAAAAGATTCCATTATGAATCCAACTTAGTCACAGGTTAATTCAAAACGAACTGAAACTGGACGTTAGTTTCATCATATTCCAAGACATATCAACTGTCAGAAATGAAAGTAGATGTTCAATAGTAATAATCCTTGATAATCACACAGTTGTTCAAATCGTTTAGAAGTATAAAAATTAAAATAGTGGTTAAATATTGACATAACATTCCATCTTAGAGCTTCTTCCGTACTTACTTATTACTTACGCCTGTTACTCATCGTGGAGGAGCACAAACCGCCCACTGGCACTCCCCATCAAACTCTGTCCTGGACAATCTTTTCCAGTTCTTTCCAGTTGTTGTTCATTTTTTACTCATCTGCTTGTATTTCCCGACGTAATGTGTTCTTTGGCCCTCCTCTTTTCCACTTCCCTTCAGGATTACAAGTTAGGGCTCGCCTCGTGATGCAGTTTGGTGATTTCCGTGATGTATGTCCTGTTCATTTCCAACTTCATTTCTTGATTTCCTCCTCAGCTGAAACCTGGTTTGTTTCCTCCCATAGAATTGTGTTGCTGATGATATCCGACCAATGGATGTTGAGTATCTTGCGTAGACAGCTGTTTATAAAGACTTGTATCATTTTGATGATGGTGGTTGTAGTTCTCCAAGTTTCAGCTCCATACAGTAGGACTGTTTTGACTTTCGTATTGAAGATTGTGACTTTGATTTTGATTGACAGTGGTTTTGAGTTCCATATGTTCTTCAATTGAAGGAATATGGCCCTTGTTTTGCCAATCCTCACCTTCACGTCTGCATCCAATCCTCCTTGTTCATCGATGATAATGCCCAGATACGTGAATGTTCCCACCTTTTGCAGAGTCTCTCCATCAAGTGTGATTGGGTTGATGTTCTCTGTATCGTATTTGAGGATCTTGCTTTTTCACTTATGTTTGTTAAGGTCTACTGATACAGATGCTGCTATTACATTAGTCGTCTTCATGTGCATTTGTTCGGGTGCATGGGATAGGAGGGCTAGGTCATCTGTGAAGTCCGGATCGTCAAATTGGCTCTGAGCTGTTCATTGTATGCCGTGTTTTCCCTCAGATGTCAAGGTCTTCACAACCCAGTCGATCACCAGAAGAAAGAGGAGGGTAAAGAGTAGGCAGCCTTGTCTGACTCCAGTCTTTACTTAGACTGCATTTGCCAGCCGTCCTCCATGCACGACTTCGCACTATAGTCCGTCGTATGAGTTCCGGATAATGTTGACAATCTTCTCAGTAATTCCATATTGTCGAAGAACTTTCTATATTGATTCCCTGTCCACACTGTCAAACGCCCTATCATATTCAAGGAAGTTGATGTATAGTGACGAGTTCCACTCAAGTGACTGTTCGACGATGATCCGTAGTGTCGCGATTCGGTATGTGCATGACCGATCCTTACGGAATCAAACCTGTTGATCTTGAAGTTGAGTGTCTACTGAGTCTTTCATCAGGTTCAGCGAAACTCTGTTGAAACGACCAATTTTCATAGGTACGTGGAACGTCCGAACAATGTGCGAGACCAGGAAGACCAGCTTCATCTGTGATATTCTAGAAATTAAGCTTTTGGGGATTTATATTTGCTTGTGCTTATTGTCCCCAATTGAACACTGACACTTTGAAACGAATCAAGTAAGTTAGCATATTTTACGGACATACATTGTAGTGAACAAAACACGAGTGGGGACAATCGAATGTATTTAACACAAAATCACAGGACCTGTTAATAAAATCTAACAATCATAAAGTAAATGCTTAATTTGCAAAATGTCCATCACTTGTCTCAAAATGACTCAGACTTCATTGTTCTTGCATTTTCATACAAATTGCGTTCTGTTTCGACTTTTTACTGGTCGATCCTCTTGTCTCTCTGTTGCCAGACCTTCTGTTCACGACTAACATCATGTACTACCTATGTCAATATAAGTAGCACACACCACAACATCAATACAAATCATAACATATCCTTTAAAACATTTACCTGAAATGTATTTGTATACAAATCAAAGGAACGATATTCAAAGTATCACGGTTGTCTAAAGCGACAGTTATTCTTTTAGTTGAATAAACTGAATATATTATCACAAAATATTCAGAAGTACTCTGTAATTTCGCTAGAGGAATTTTTAAATACATATAAAACTAATGCATATGTTTCATCACAACAGCTTAAAACTAAAATATGCATCCAAGTAACAGTTGGATCCACATTGCTAACATGACTAAATATTTCTTTTATTCAGTATTTGAACACTTTAGTTTGGAGAATCTGCCATCTATTAACCTTAAAAGTGGTTTATTTAATTCTTCCTACCCAAAAGAACTTGCTCCATACTCACTAAGAACCGCATAATAAATAAATCAATTTAGCCAGACTTTCCTTAGGGTTAAAAAGAGAAAAAGTGGAAATACATTTTGAAATGTTAATCAGCGCACGTCAGTATTTAACTAACACTAAACATTAATACACGTTAGTGTTTGCTTAAAACCCTAGCTGCTTTCAATGAAGCTATTTATAACATTTGGAATTATTATCTTCATTCGACTAACTCAAAGCCGAATGCTGATTCTCATTTAGCATTTTCGTTTACGTTCAGTTTACTTCTTACTTTCACTTATCTCAAGTTATAAATATACATGATATTTTTTAGACAAATAGTATTTTATTTATAATACCATACACATCATTCAATAGAGAACACCTATACCAGTTATTTCTAATATTTTTAAACTAATAATACCAGTAATTGTCATTTTGTTTTCAACCAAACGTATACGATTCTAATTTAGATTAATTGAATTATGACATATTATTACAGCAAAAAACTAGATGGAATTAACTTAATCCATTAATCATTGGTTTATGAATTAAATAACCAACTAAATGTTTGTTTTTTTACTTTGAAATCATTTATCAATCAATAAAGACTTACAAATATTATTGTTAGGCTTTATAAAACTAAAGCAATTCTTATTAAGTAAGCAAGAAGGATGAAACATAACTTGTACTTATAAAATAATATCTTTATGGCTACAGACCAGGATGACGTCTATTGCTTTATTGTCCCATCCAAAATAAGTAAATTATTGTTCAACTATTAAAAAAATACTAGGAAATTAAATAAAAGTGACTATAATTCATTTTTGTATTGTTTGTTTAAATCTTCTTATTGATGTTCAGGATTGTGATTGATCAGTCGTTTATTGGCATGTGTACATCGTGTTTTAATACCCTTGATACTGCCATAGTTCACAAGCACTATAAGCAAAGATGGATTGTGTCTATCTAGACTCAGTAGCTAAGTAGATAACGCGGTGGCATTTGAAGAGGACGGTACTGGATCCGAGTCCTGGAGAAGACATGAACTCTGGGATGGAGGTACATCCAACTGACAAGTTTCAAATAGGACGAAACGACCGTTCTGAATTCCAATGCTAGCTACCACTAATCTCTGCTTATAATATCAGTGACCTTGTTTATTTCAACCAGATGTGGAATAATATATAAAAATTTTAAATGTGAACATTTAACCTATTCCTATACAAAGATTAATAGATCATTGTGGAATAGAAGTTCTTTTGAAACTGATTTATTCACTATACAAAACTGATCTTTTATTTATATCTACAAATTTTATGAAAAAAATCCACAGAAATTATGCTCTTAGACCTAGTGGTAAACAATATTAATGAGTATCATAAAGGTAATACTAAAGTGTGTAACTGTATCGTTCCTCATATTGTTTTGCCAAAAGTTTCATTCCCTAATATTTTATATGCCTCATAAATTTTTTAAGAATTTGAACGCGAGCTGTTAAGCAACTTTAATATGAAATGAAGAATTTGAAAGTTTCTATTTTTAATACATCACCTATCTGCTAAGATAATTATCATAAATAAGTTAATTATTTTCTCGACGAAATATTCCTACAGAAGATTGATCCTAGTCAAAAGTTTGGATATTTCCTAATTTTACATATACAACTATTATTTTTATTAAATAGAATATTTATATACGTGGAAAGTAGCAAGAGCATTCTAAAAACTTGTTTCTTACAGTTAAATTTGTTCTTTGAAACTATTTCAAAAATCAACAGAAATGTACGGTTCAAGAAACGAAACATTCTGGAGTAATAAATTTTTTAAGTGGGATAGTTTCAAAGGCATCTTAAAGATTAAGTTCTATGAAAGATAATACAATAATTAATCAATTATGTTCATAAAAATCCTAAAGCATCATGTAGGTTAACAAAACATTATTCACCTTTTTAAGGCCAACTGCACGTAACATAGTATGAAATGTTGGACCAGCATAAACAGCAGTTGGTATTAATGCCCATAAGGAATCACCATATCCATGTAGTAAAATGCGAAAGCCAATAAATCCTTGATTCGGTACCAAATAATCATAACTTTGTGGATCTAACACTAATTGAATTTCGTCTATGCCTAGAGATCGAGAAATTAAAATTTTTTTATTACAATAGTGTTAAAAGACTAAGCATAAAATGTATCATTCTTGATTGTTTTAGATGCATAATTCTTACCTTTAATGTGTTTGCAATTCAACGAAACAGAGATATAAAAGTTGTCTGAAATTTAATCGAATCAGCTGCGGAAATAATACAAACTGGAAAGATTTTCAAAGCATTTCCTTAGAAAGAATTGGCTGAAGATTATAGTGTAAGCAGATTAAAAGGTATTTGTAACCTGGAAACAAGATTTTTTTATAAATAATGTGAATAAGATCTCAACGTTGTCACGTAGTCATCCTATTTTTGTTATAGGCTTCAGAGTTTGAAGTAAACTACCTTTAACATATTCATGATGGGTGGCTCATAATGTTTTTTGATAAACTAATAGCTTTACGTGTTATTATGCTGTTTAACTTCATTAATCTCCAACCCTTATCGCAAAACGACCACTAAGTTTTGTTACATTCTCATAAATGAGTGACATTATGTATCACATTTGCGAAGTAATTTTTCAATAGTTTGTTTGGTTTGAATTTTATTAATTTATTAATTTAATAATTTTATTATTTATTTAAGTGATACCTGTAAACGTAAATCGGGGAAACATATTTTTTCTAGAATAATTCCAGTAGTTAGAACTCGTCAAATTCAACTCAGTTACTTTGTACTAATAAGGATGATGTTTTATAACAAATAAAACTAATCATTTAAAACACGACAATAGATAGGAGGGACACATATTTATGGCGAGAAGTTACTGAGTATTTACACAATATGAATTCACAGCTTTCAATCGCACATTTGCATCTTTCGGTGTGTTCTGTAACCTGCAATGTCAACGCCGTGCTTTCAATGTATTGGAACGCTAAACACTACTTACAAACATCCTTGTCAGTAGCGCCCACTACAGTAACACTATTATTAGTTTGTTTCCCTACAATAACTTAAACCTTCTTAAAATAATGACAGGCAAACCTATTCTATTAATAAATGAGAGTTCATAAAGCAATAGGTTTACGGAACTGTGTTTACAGCTTATAGTTATCGTTATCACTAGGTGACGATCGTACCCTACTGTAAATAAGATGAAATCGAAATATGTAGATCTCTGAACTTCTAGATCTGAGGTTTCACTAAACAATTTTTAGCATACTGAGTGTGCAATACAGACGAATCGTATTTCCAAGTAAAACATGCTTCCACTTCTTTCTTAACCATGATAAATAAGGCCAAGCTATAAATATTAAGGAGATAGATTGAAGTTTAACATAATATCATGAAGACCGATTCAGTTGATAATTAACGCAATCATAATAACATGCCTTGTTGTGATCACCTGTTTCCGAATAAATTTTACTCCTTTCTGTTTATCATGTATGATAATTATTTTACCTAAAGTGATTCATATACAGGTGCTACACCGTGTTCACTCGATTCATGAAACGATTGGATTTACCAGAAGTTTATCAGGAAATACACTTTTTTATACAAGATAGTATTTAGTTCAGCCAAATGTTCTTTTCCTGTCCTTTTGTGACCAACAATAACAAAGTCCTCATGAATTCAGTGAAAGACTAGAATATTTTCAAATGGATTCTTAAAGAATTCATTAAAAATGAGGGTTTTGTGGATATTGTAGTAATTTAATATTCTAATTCATGAGTCAATTAAAGCCAGACCACCATGGAAAACCTGAAAGCACTGGACGGTCGTTTTTTCCTAGTAAGGGACCCCTTAGCAGTGTATATCCACGACCCTGCTCAAGGAATTCCAACCCGGGGCCTTCGATCTCGTGCGCGAACGCTTAACCTCCAAACCACCGAGCCGAAATCCGACAGTATCGATGTCTAACGTCAACCAATCCACGAAATTACGCCACCATCCACCATCATTGAAGACAATGGTGGACGGTTAGAGTTATACATTAACACCGATGGATGGCAGCTCAGTGATCTAGAGGTTAAGCGTTCGCGCGAGAGACCGAGGGTTCTGGGTTCTTATTCCACGAGCGGGATTGTGGATATACACTGCTAAGGAGTCCCTTACTAGGACAAAACGACCGTCCAGTGCTTCCAGGTTTTCCATGGTGGTCTGGTTTTAATTGACTCATGAATTCAACCATTAAATTCATTTAAATTCGCTTATTTGACGCAAGAGGAGTAACTGATTTATATAAAGCGAAAGTCTCATGAATATTCGACAAACTAGAATTATTTACTAAATGTAAGTATTCAAGAAAGTTCGCATGGAGAACATTTAATTGACTTTAGAAAAATTCATGTTAGTCAGTTAAATACTGATTTCTGTTTAAAATAATTCCTAACCAATAGCAAAACAATCCCCGAGAAATCACTTTACTTTATATTCTCCCGAAAATATCACTTATTACTTCTGTTTAATTAAAACATTGAAGATCTATGACTGACTGGTTATTTTTGCATATAGAAATTTTCTAAGAGTTGTGATTAGTCTTGACCATTCTTCATAATACAATTTGCAATATAGGCATAGTGAAATAAAGTAGCTGTTGATATAAACCTCCTTCAAAACCATTCATCTACAAAGTGATAAGGTCACTATATAGTAAGCATTACTCAATTTAATAAAATCATAGTGTTTTGACTAAAAGCTATCTATCAATCCTATGGTGACACGTATCATTTGAACTTGGAAATTTTTGGAGGAAAGAATACTTAGTAAATACAGCTTCAAGTAATTGGTATGAATTGATAATTTAAAGTCTACCGATTATTGACCTTATTTTTGAGCCATAACTCCTTCAAAAATCTACCAAGCTGGTTTTGACTTAGCGAAGTTATGTTACTGATTTTTTTCTTATGAAACAGTATTTTAAGCACAAATCTAATTTTATCAAGCATATAGGTTGATATTTTTTCCTCTACTATTATTTGTCTTTATTACCTGAACTCAGATAATCAGAATAAACTAGGAACATTTGTGAAACACTGGTTTGAGGAAATAAGCAAACTATTAGAACTACTAATAGAGTCTAATATAGAACAAATGAAGGTAATGAGAAAAATCTATATACTTGCCTATAGTATTTGTAATAGTAATAACTGTTGTGATTAATGTATGAACTACAAATTTGTTACAATTTACTGTTTAGTAAAAGAGAGAGATTTCAAAACCTGTTGATGATATCACATCGTTTGTTTGAGACCAGGTGAACCGTGCTCAACGAAACAAAACGTCTTAGATTTTCACAGTTACTACTGATTGTTGTCGTAATTTGTTTAACAGTAAAACGTTTGTTCGGTGTTGTGTTATAATAACTGATGTTTTCGCAGATTTCTTTTTGCAAATCAATTATGAAAAATAAAACAAATACAACTGAATGATAGGAAACCGAGCAAGCTAGTCAAGTTGTACCGACTATCCATATATTTACTTTATGTAATCATTCTCTATGCTAACTTGTACATTGTTTAGTCCTTTGTGTTATTAAAAGAACTGATCATAAGGGCGAACACAAAATTGTCTAATTTAAAACTTGTAGGTGAATAATTTCGAGATGAAACTACGAAGACTGATTGGTGCATTTATTTATTCCGAACTTTGTGCTACAATTTCGACGACTGGTTTGTTTATTTCATGCTAAAAACCTGGATAATAGTAATGTGAAATGGACGGTACACTGACGAAGATAATTAGAGAATTTATTAAGATACCAGTTTTACAAACAATATGAGGGTAAATGTGTTCAGTTAGATTGGATGCTGTAAATCGGTATAGCGAGTTTGGTCTATTAAGCTTTTTCATATATATGGCCTATACTTTTATATGAAGATCATTATGTGAATGAACAATGAAACATCCCTGTCTTTAAATTTTGTTAGCTTTATAAAGTGATTTCAGTTCAGTAGTTAATCATTTTCATAAAAGATGGGTGTTTTCTAGTTACTCCATACCATTCCTTATCAAATTTGCTTAATATCTGTTAGAGCATTACATTCATTGAATAAACAGTATACGTATGTTATTCAGGCTAATCAATACAAACAACTACCTAATGGTCATCAATCATTATTATAAATTTTGATACACTGTTCTATTGAAATTATAGAACTCAAAGGCAAATAAACTTATTCCTTACTACTGCTTATTCATTTTCCTTCCCAAAAAGTAACTTTTAGATGTTAGTTTTTTAACCCATTACCTAATTTTACTAATAAAATTAATTTAGTTACAACACTTTTAAGCGATATAAATTTATAATGAAATAATGTAAAGTAGTTTGTTTTTGTTCGTACTATATGCAATGAAATTATGTTCTAGTTCAACGCACAACTTGCTGCAAAAAATATTGTTCAAATCGGTGAAATGGCATAATTTAACTGATCATATCAATCTGTTTTTTGATAGTTAAAAAATAATCTTGCAGTCAAAAATGCCTTACGCAAATCATCTTGGTATTAATCGGCAATGATTTGATTTATTGACGTTGTAATATAAATATGATTCTCTACTCATGCTTATTTTTCTAAGAACCATGAATAACCAAATAGCCATATTCACGACAAACTCTAGTATCCCTTCGTATTTTTCCTAGAAGAGTTGTGCTTATAATCTAATTACGCAGTTTTCTGTATCAATATTATTACATTTATTTTAATACTTAATTATTTGTTTGACTATATCAACAGAAAGGTTACGCAATTAATCATGCTGTATAGATCATGTTCTGTTGCCGGAACTGTGATATATTTCCAGTCTTTGCAGTTTTAAAATATTATCACTTTTTCTTATAAAAGGTAGACTATTCACCATAAATAAATATTCAAAATACTCCATAATCCAACAGTAATAAAAATTCTAGTCGTACAAACCTACTTATTATTGATTAAAGTATGTACTGGCTTCTTACTAATAAAAGAGAACCAGTAATATTAGTTCTATCAAATCAAGCTATTAATTTGTATTTTTATTGTCGATACAGACTACAACAATTTGTTCTCATCTTTAGGACTTTTTTGTGAAAATTAAACCCTATCATTGTTTTCACAGTTTTTTATCATTCACTTGTTTTCATTGTTTAATGCCGTCTATGTGGTCTGATGTAGTGTATAATGAATGTGAAATTCTAAATGATTTATCGATATTCCAATTCATAAATAAGTAAATAAATAAATGTATCAGTTCGTCTATTAGTAATAATAATTACTACTATTATCTTTATTGTACAATTGAACTGTTATGATTGTTGCATAATAATTAAAGTTCTCTACAAGAATGTTTTCTCAAAGTTTATCAGTCTTATTACTTACAAAAAACAACTTTTTTTAATAATATTATTATTGCTCTAGGCATATTTTTGGAAATGAATAAATTTCATCAGTGTATTTTAGGTAAAATTGACCAATCAAGTGTTTCACTGTAGCTAAATTGTTTATAAATAATGTTTAAAGAAAGGCATATTACCATTATAGTTAGTATATTTCTGTGAATGACAACTGTTACCAAATACTGTTGTATGCTTAATTTCACTAAGTCAACGTTTAACTAAGAAGCTAACAACAGCATTGAAAAATTACATTAATTCCAGTCCCATATTAAAAATAATGTAACATTACTGGTTGTTTGTTCATATTGGTAAAGATAGTGTTTTTTTATAACTATATGAAAGAAGAACGAAATTTTTAACAAAATCTCTCTTGATATGTTTAGTAAATATCATGTAGACTTGCATTAGTACTCCATATCCCTGAATGCGGTAGTTATTTTTCAGGTTTTCAATTGAAAAGAATAATAGTTCTTTTTAAAGGATAGATATAGTGTGGGTGAAAAATAATGATCGGTCATAAACAGAGGATTTCGGTAACTTGAACAATGCTGACCATACGTTCATATGAAATTAAGTACAGAAATTTGAAAGCATACTTTTATTCTTGCTTTCTAAAACCAATTAAAGACAAACAAATGGCTATTTGAATGTCTTGTGAATACATGTAAACTATAGGGAGCGAAATTTTAATCATGTGAAAGTGAATACTCGAAAGTGATAATTCTCGCGTTAACTTACCGGTTAAATCGCCAGCTAGCGTATAACAAGCGCCATTCGGTAGAATGCTCTTTGTAAAATTCAGTACGGAACAATGTCTTTGACCAACTTTACAGCTAATTGAAACGATAATATACATTAACTTTATAGATGCTTATTTATGATTTATTTATGTAACAACTTTTAATAATAGAAAAACGTATATGAACAGTATCCAAGTGACTAAATACTTTATACAAGATTATTCTAAGACCGTTGAAAAAAGAGCTTACCAAGATTTAAGTTTCTTTTAAATAACCTTTAATTCAATAATAATTATTTTATTTTGGCTGAAATCATGAATCCATCAATGTTAGACCACCACTGAAAGCCTGGAAGCACTAGACGACAATGGAAGATGGCTACGCAATATCGTGGATTAGTTTGAGTTAGACATTAACACAGATGGATCCCGGCTCAGTGTTCTAGAGATTAGGCATTCTCGTGCGCGACCGAGGGCTCTGAGTTCGATCCCCGCCGGTGGGATCGTGAATATGCACTACTGAGCAGCCCCTTACTAGAACGAAACGGCCTTCCAATGCTTCCAGGTTCTCAATGTTGGTCTAACATCAATCGACTTATGATCCCGACCAAAACTTAACAATCTCCAAAACTATATTGTTAGTTCTCTTGTTTGTTAAAAAATTTGAAACAACTAGTCATTTTGACAACTTTCGATAATGCAATGAGAAGACGAAGGTTATCAGGATTATGTAGTTTATCTACGCAATACATTCCGAACAATCTGATCACATATAGACTTGTTAGGACATTTTTATATGAAAAATAAAAGGTCAACCAGACAAACTAAATGCTAAGTGGAAACAAAGAATAATAATGTACATAAAAACAATGAGAAAACCATGCTGGATAATAAATCAGTATTATCAGGGTAGGTTAAGAGTAAGAACAAATCGCTCCCCCCTATGTACGCACATATATGTAAATTTATAGACACAATCGCTTACGTTCTGTTTGGGTTTTTGGTGAAACATAAACCTTGCTTTTTGAATAATGACGAGTTGGGTTGCATAAAATGTCCTATCGATGGCTAATTTAAATCTCCATTTCAACACGAGGCTATCTGATTCGAATATATTACAACCCTGATAACCTTCGTCTCCTCATTACATTATCGCAACTTAAAATTCTGACTTGAAGTAATTAAAACCGATCTATATGCACTTAAGACTGAAAAACTTAATCCGACCCAAAATTTCAGTATGTTAACAAATAAATAAATAATTGCGAGCACTTTACCAGAACATAATGATACTCAGCATTGAATTTTTCATTTTTTTAATAATAGTAAAGCCTGAGAATCTCGGATTCATAGAGATTCTAAGTATTTGTTGTTAAATATGACCGCAGGAATAAAAGATAGACACAGGACTGCATGCATGAAAGTTCAAAACTCTAGACAACTTAAAATATGTAAATAAGAAAGCCTTTTTAGTGTTATTTGATATATACAATGCAAAATGTCTTACAAAATATCTGTTTAGCTTTTGTAGTTAAGACTGTCTCGACAGATATCGCTAAACCAGCATATATACCTCAGTTTAACGTGAATAATAATAATGATTATATATATGGCCGAATTAAAAAAATTACCGACTTATACCATATCATCTCAAAAAACCATTAATGCGACATGCACAAACACTTCATAATCGATTTGGCGAGTGAACAAAATACTAATAACCATATTGTTTACCCTATATCATTTCTATGACTTCCTGCAAAACAAAATTTTCCATGTATCCGAATAATATGAAGACACAATCATCCTTTAAACATTTATGTTTTATTTTAATATGGTACTTTTTGGTAGTACTGGTCGTGTTCAAAGTTTTTCCCTATAACTCAAAAATATTAATAACCTAATAAGTACGACTATTAGCATTACAAAAAGGTAAATGCTTCACAGTCAATGATTAAAGTTCGTTAAATAGCAGACAAAGTGCTCCACATTCTTCCTTTCCTATATGCTTTCAACGGAGATAAAATTTTACAATACTAAATTTTTGATGCCCAAAATTAGATCATTTGATTCAGAGAACAAGTGTAACGTGTGATCATTTTAGAAATCAAATAAATGTTCCTGTAGAATAGAAGGAATTGTTGTAATAGGATTTCAAAACCATTATTGAATACGTATATGGATATGTATATATGTGTATGTCCACTTGCTGTGCAGTAGAATTCAATTGTCTTAAGTCATAGAAATTGTTCAAATCCTTCAGGAAAGTAATTTTATAAAACAAGTGAGAAATACACGAACAAAATTTAATTGGTCTTAACAATAACCAAGTCAAATTTCCTTCTTTAAACGATGTAGGCCATGTCATTATAATGAATAAATTTTCATTTCATTCCCTTCAAATCAAGTCTAATATTTAACTCACTTTATTACCCATTATTATTACCTTGACCATATTTTTTTAAATAGTCAAAATATATTTTGATTTCCGAACATATATTAAAGCAAGTCAAGAAGCAAAGCTAATGCAAATTTAAAGATTTACTAAACCACCTAAGTGTCATTATAATGGTTCATGGGTATATTCGATTATGCGATCAAAGCCCTTCAAAAATAAAATAATAAATAAAGCCCTTCTAAAACAGTGACGATCAGTGATATTTACTTTTTTAGTGCTGTCTGTAGCTTTTTTCTCGTTACATTTGTTGTTCTTGGCTTCATTAACTTGTATTTTAACTATGATGCTATAGATCTTTAATGTTTACGATGTGATGACTTTGGATGTGTTAATACACCCTTGTTAAATAATTTCAACGTGTCTCAAAAAGGTCACAAAATATAATTATTGGTACTTTATACGATGAAGAGTCATCTAAATTAGCTGGAAAAGTTTGCTTTTATCCACTGGAAGGACTGTCTATTTATAATTAGTCTCGCTTCGCTTTGGAAAATATCACCAATATATTTCCACCAGAACAATAATTCGACTGAACTAAAAAACCACTACAGTTGAGTTTGTTTAACCACTCATCAAAAACGTTCTGACATAATCATCTACCAGAAAAGGTTTATAATAAATAAAACTCTTTAAGATCCAGTGTATATCACATGAAATAATTTCGAAGAATTATAATGCCAAAATTTGTGTTCCATAGTACATATTATACATATTATACATACGATATCGTCAATAATTATAGTATATTTGGGAACGAGAAAGTTGATTACAGTAGTGGACACTTATCTATTGGCTATCGTTTATGCTTCGACATACTTTACCTTCTTAACATTTGATCTATCTGATGAGATGCTTTCTCCATGAGCTTGAAAATTGGCACTTTAAGTTTGCTTTCCGGGAGGTTTTCACTTGAACGTCCTTGAAAAGCATCCGAGAAAATTTCATAATCAACACCACGATCCTGAGACTCAGCTGACTGAATATTGTACAGTTTAGTTCCCCTTAATTAAAAAGATGTAATTTAATGTTAGAAAGAACCATTAGAACATTTTTTACAGAACCCAGTTTATACATTAGGTTTATGAAAAAGTTATCATTTAGAGGCGAGTAAATTCTATAATGCTGAAAATTTCATAAAATACTTGATAAACAACCAAGCCGCCATATTTGTTGTTTTAAATCAGTCTTGCATTTGGATCATCAGCGTACATTAGTTATAAATCCTATTTTAGGATACATAAATTTTACGTGCTTGAGAACTGACTGTTGCATACTTACGAAACCAGTCATCACCAGTTCATTTATAAAAGTTATCGAAACATTTGCGATGCATCGTGTTATTGGAAAGCACACGAAAGATTAATGTGTAGATCTGGTACACAGATATAGTCCTCATTTTCTTTTGTACAGAGCATAAAGATTAGAAGTTTGATCAACTTTCAGTGGCTTTTCTGGCAACATTAAAAATAATTTATTCTTTCACAAACATAAAGCAACATATTCACTAAAAATACAGTTCTAACAACGATCAATGTATCAATGATAACTCATTACTTTATATCATTCAAAAAACCCAAGGAACTACATTTTTAACCTTTTAATAAGTGGTCATGCTTTCAACCATATCAGTCAGTCAGCAACAACGTAGAACTTCATACATACGTACATCAGTTCAAGTTGCCATACCACATTAGCACAGAGACACAATTTTCAATTCAAATCTTGTAGTGGTAGAGGCGGTAACAGTATAAGCAGTAATTGGAAAGATTAGGGATTGAGTTTGTTATTCAAGGAGCATAATCTCGTGAAATAAATTTGGAAAGAGGAAAAAAGGAACATGAAAAGTTCAGAAGATTAGAATTTCCAGGAACACAAAGAGTGTGGTGCGTGCTACTTATATTGACATAAGTAGTATATAACGCGAGTCAGGAATGTAATGTCTGGAAGCAGAAGATTTGGAAGATCAGGAAAGGAAGAACGGGGATAGAAATCTAAGAGCAATAAAGTCCGAGACAATTATTGAACATTTTGCAAATTAGATATTATATTACTGTTTTTTCTATTTTACCAATTAACTCTGTAATGTTGTGCAAAATATGATTCGGTTGTCCTCAACTGTGTTCTGCTTCACTACAAGAGTGGATGCATCTGAGCCATAATAAACGATTTTGAGCCATGTCATTCAAGGTTTCTAACCATCGGTTTCTATCATCTCGCGGATCCCAACCAGGTAGTCTAAACCTAGCAACGTGGCTCAGTCCACTTGTCAGTGACTTCATGGACTTGTGCCATGTTTTGGACTGGCCGCACTTTGTTTTCTTCTAATCTGATCCTACATCATAAAACATCGCACGTCGTGGTAGTCAGTGGTTGGGCATACGTAACACATGTCCCAGCCATCTCAACTGATGAAGTTTCACTACTTCATCAATTGATTTGCCATCCTTACCTAGTACCCGTTTCCTAACAACTGCATTACTTACTCAGTGGTCCCAGGATATAAGACCAATGTTTCGAAGACACCTATGATCAAATACTAGTAACCCACAAATATCCTCTACTCTTACCGGCCATGTTTCACTGCCATAATGCAGGACGGAACGAACTGCTGCACAGTAAACCCGTCCTTTGGTTGATAGATGGATATCTTGCCCACGCCATAAGTGACGCAAGTTGGTAAAAGCTAGTCGAGCCTTCTGTATCCGTACTGAGATTTCGTCACACACCAGACCACGAGGGCTGATGAGACTTCCAAGAGAAGTGAAGCGGTCGACACGCTCAACTACTTCACTCCTTATCATTAATTCAGGTATCGATGCAGCCCAATCCTGAGGTAGCATTTTGCATTTCGAGGGGAAGAATCGCATCCCGAACATGTTTGCATCGTTACTTATGATGGTCAGAGGACTCTACAATTTGTCAGCGTCTTCACCAAAAAAACTATATCATCGGTTTATTCTAAGTCAACAATTGAATCTCCCGGTAAGTGTTCAACTCCTAAAAATTTAGATGAAGAAAATGTAACCTCTAAAAGCACTTCAACGACAAAGTTAAACAAGAATGGAGAGAGTGGACTACCTTGACGAACACCACTGGAGGTAGTCAATTGTGATGATAGTTCGTCATAAGCTCTCACTCGACCAGCTGAGTTTAAGTAGAGAGCGTGTATAAGGTTTGTGCACTTCTGAGGTACTCCTTACAATGACAAACACTGTCATAGAACCTCACGATCATTCATATAGTTCCACGTTTAAGCTTTGCGGATAATTTCAGTCATTTGTTTTCAGCGTTTAATAACTAAAAAGTTAGGTCTTATAAGAACTGTTTTGCCTCGCTGTCAAAATTGCTGCAAAGCTTTACATATCACGACTGATCTATGAATACTTCTAGCACTCGGCTATCAAAAAGATTAATTTTGTCTATTATACTCACTGTATTCTTGCTTCTTATGTGATATTAGAGTGTTTCTTTGTAAACTTAAGGGAAGTCTATTATTTTCTGGCAGTTTTTGAGAACATTTAAAAATTATTTAGTATCAGGTATTATTTAAGTGTGAAGCAACTTCTGTGTAGGGTTTATTCAGATCGCTCATTTAAATCTCAAATTATTTTATGGCATTTACAGAAACAAATCCACTTACCTTGCTGGATTAATATTACAGATACTGATCAAAGGAAATGGCAAATTACTTTGATGATCCTCATAAGCTGAAATAATCATTTTTGATGCCAAACTGTCGTAATGCTTTAACCAAACATGTACTCGATAAGTGATCAAGCAAGCTACTGATATGCACAGCAAAAGACAGATTAGTCTAATTGAAAAAAAAATATATCCTTTACTATTAAGCGCAACATCGTAGCACTTGTCTCGAACGATTTTATAGTGCCCACACAGAATTTGGAGTTAACGAAATACAAATAAAAAACGCATAAGCCATTTTTTCAAGTGTCATTTACATTAAATTCCTATGAGCACATTGGTTTAGCAGTGTTATTAATAAAATCTAAACTGTAATGATTATTGTTTCAGGTATCAATTTTGTACGGAGATATCCTGAAAGTTTGTAGCCCATAAACAACTTTTGTTAGTGCAAAACGAAGTCCATTGAACAAACACAACGTGAAGACCTTCTAGTTATTAACATCACTGCCTTTAGCTGAACAGTAATAAGCATTACTGTCTGGTACTTTGTTATAGCTGCGTAAAGCCAAAGATTCGCATACATTACAATGACATTAACAAGCAGTTTGTAAACAGGCAATAAATTAATTTATCATGCATTTTTATGACGTTTTCAACGAACTCTATGTGTTTTATTCCCAGTGTACCACCACTTTTATATATCGCCGATGACTTTTTACCATCCATTTCAAAAGTAATAGCTTTCAACATTTCGAATTCAATTTTTTCCTACAAAAGAGTTTGCAGATCACTCACACAAGCTAATAATGAATAAAATAATCAGTTAATAAACAAAGTCCTTCTTTGACTGCCTATTCGCCCTGATAAAAAGGTTTAAAAAGTAAACAAACTACCCTATATAATCGTATGACCAATATATCGTCTTAAGTAACTAAAATACCATGTATTACACTTAATTTTATGGCACGTTTACCATTATCGATTGTGTGTGTTGTTGTATAAGAGACAACGATAATTATTATGGCAACAAATTTTAAGACACAAAGTTGCAGAATTGATGCAAACATTGAAACATTCAATATAAATCACCCATCATATAAAAATACGTTTCTACACAAAAACTAAAAATCTATATTCTGGAATGCAGAATAAGCAATGCTTAAAAATGAGTTAACTGTACTTTAAATTTGCCATAAATAGTCATTGTAATGATTACTTTTCGGTTACAAATAAGATTTTTGAGGTATAAATAGAAGAAAAAGCTGAAAAAGCCATCGGAGATAACCCTTAATAATTACTTCTTGGCTCCAACTGATGTCCACTTGGGGCAGCAGTGAATATTCATCATATATATTAAAACACGCGCAAATATAAGTGAAAGTACAGATGCAACAGTTGTATTAAACAATCAATACCGAACCAGGCAAACTAAACACTAAGCAAGATAAATTATTTAAAAATACAACGCCAACATTTGATCACTTGGTCAATTAAATGCTGAATGCATTTGGCCGCTGTTATTGAGCTGATATTTAACTAAGTTTTGGGAACTTCATCTGGGAAATATTAAGTGTTTTAGACATGGATCCTCTGGAAAACCGAAGTTGAACAATATAATATGCTATTTATGACTGTATACAGAGTACCTAGCCTAATTTCTGTTCACACAAATATGCTCTCTTTGAAAGACACCTAGGTAATAATCAAAAGTCGAATTTCGATCCTTGTAAAAGACCTCATATGTTTTTGTGAACTGTCGTGAATGGCGTCCTCTCAGCAGTTTAATTTGGGGACACGGAAGTTATCTGTTTTGAACGAACATAATTCTAAGAACTCTATAGTGTGCAGTCTCATTTCACTTGAACAAGCTGAGATCAGGTCCATTTTTGATTGCTGATCTGTAAAATCTTCTGAATATAGATTTCTCTCACTACATTGGAAAATCAAGCGGACTTTTAGTTGGCTTAATGTAGCAGCCCTCCCAACAACCTGGCCACTGAACACATAAGAATCCATAACTGAAGTAGAGTTGTCAGTTTCTATGTACATGATTTGCGTGTCGCCAGCTAGCTATTTGCATTGCAAAAACGAAAATTTAGAAAGGCATATAAAGGATTTTGGTTTAGTAGTTGAAACAATACTTTACTTTTTCATTGCTAAAAGTGAACCTTTGATTTCCCACTTCGATTTTTTCTAAATGAATATGTCATTTAGTGCCGCGCTATGTTTCGAGAGAATTCAACCACTATTTTTCGTGCTTTAAGATAAACATGTGTTGTCCGGTTGTTACAAGCATACTTAAGGCTAGGTTTTAGCGATGTTCCGAAGGTGTGTCGCTTTATTCAGGAGATTTGCATTTTAGGAACTTTTTGTTAGTGATTTTTAGAACAGAAACTGTTTGAATTTTGATGCATAACAAAAAAAGGTATAGTCCGTTTGAATCACCACATACCAATTTGAATAAATAGTCATGGGCGATGGCGTTTTAACCATCTTCTGTTAACTGAGTAACGACTTTTAGAATTCCACACCCTCGTTTTTGTTTAGGATAATACAATACTTTAAAAAAAACCGACACAAACAGTCCAGGCTATGTTCACAAATTTCGATGAACCTCACTAACTGACTTTAAATGGACGTCCGTGCCTTTTTGGCATATAGTTCGTTATATGAGACTTTGCTACCTACAAGATGGGCCACCATCTAAATCTTCCAAACTTTAGGCTGGATAGATTAAATTCTTGAGGGGATAATAAATAGATAATAATTAAATCCTATCCACAGTTTTGGAAAAACTTTTTTCTCATCACTGTATTACAATATTTAACACTCTCAAGGATTCCAGGTGCACCATCGTCTTGTTACTAAACAACCACACTAATAACTCTGACGACGATTGTCATAACAATGTGGAACCACTGTACGGAATATCTATCTGTATCGATCAACTCCTTCCTTTCTCAACACTTCGACTGCAACATACGCAAATCCACTTTCTTGAAAACACAGGGCTTGAAGACAGGTGACTGGATCCACGGAAGTTCGCCCGCTAGGATGGTCAAAGGTAACGTCAAAAGTTCATGTATTTCAGAGTCCGTTCTTTTGTAGCATATATTCAGTCATGCTATTTATTTTTTTAATTTCGAAACTTTCATCTCATACTCTCTACTTAAACTATCATTCTACTCTTTAGTCTACTGAAAAACACACTTCATCGGCGTTGTTATCAGTACTTACATTATAATTACAAACAAGACTACCAGAGGTAGAGGTCTAAATTTGAAACCTGATAATAAGTCAAGATACCTGTTTCCGGCAACAGGACTATAAGAAAGCTCGAAGAGAAGCAGGATAAACTGTCTCAGTGTAGTGCGCACGACATATACTTACTTACTTACTTACGCCTGTTACTCCTCGTGAAGGAGCATAGGCCGCTCACCAGCATTCTCCATCCAACCCTGTCCTGGGCAATCCTTTCGAGCTCCTTCCAGTTCCTATTCATCCTTTTCATATCTGCTTCTATTATCCGACGTAATATGTCCTTAGGCCTTCCTCTTTTCCGCTTCCCTTCAGGATTCCAAGTTAGGGCTTGTCTAGTGATGCAGTTTGACGATTTGCGTAATGTATGTCCCACCCAATTCCATCGTCTTTTCCTGATTTCCTCTTCAGCTGGACACTGGTTTGTCCTCTCCCACAGAAAGTTGATGCTGATGGGATCCGGCCAACGGATGTGGAGTATCTTGCGTAGACAGCTATTTATAAATACTTGCACCTTCTTGATGATGGTTGTTGTAGTTCTCCAAGTTTCAGCTCCGTACAGTAGAACTGCCTTGACGTTCGTATTGAAGATTGACTTTGATATTGGTTGAAAGTTGTTTTGAGTTCCATATGTTCTCCAATTGTAGGAATGTGGCCCTTGTTTTGTCAATCCTCGCCTTTACGTCTGCATCTGAACCTCCTTGTTCATCGATGATGCTTCCCAGGTATGTGAAGGATTCTACATCTTCCAGAGTTTCTCCATCAAGAGTGATTGGATTGCTGTTCTCCGCTTTGAATTTTAGGACCTTGGTTTTCCCCTCGTGTATGCTGAGGCCTACTGATGCAGAAACTGCTGCTACACTGGCTGTATTTATCTGCATTTGTTGGTGTGTATGAGATAGGAGGGCCAGGTCATCTGCGAAGTCCGAATCGTCTAGTTGATTCCGAGCTGTCCATTGTATTCCGTTCATTCCCACAGATTTGGAGGTCTTCGTAATCCAGTCAACCACCAGAAGAAAGAGGAAGGGAGAGAGTAGACAGCCTGACTGACTCCGGTTCTTACTTGGAATGCATCTGTCAGCTGTCCTTTATGCAATACTTTGCACTGTAGTCCGTCGTATGAGTTCCGGATAATGTTGACAATCTTCTCAGGAGCTCCAGTGTCGAGGGGGTTTCCGTAGCGTCTTTCTATCTACACTGTCAAATGTCTTTTCATAATCAATGAAGTTGATGCACAGTGATGAGTTTAACTCAACTGATGGTTCGACGATCACCCGTAGTGTCGCAATTTGGTCTGTGTGCGACCGGTCCTTACGGAATCCAGCCTGTTCATCTCGAAGTTGGGCGTCTACTGAATCTTTCATCCGGTTCAGCAACACTCTGTTGAAGACTTTCCCTGGTATTGACAGTAGTGTTATGCCTCTGTAGTTTTCACATTTGCTCAGATCTCCTTTCCTTGGGATCTTGATGAGGTGTTCTTCTTTCCAGTCCATCGGCACTTGTTCCTCCTCCCAAATCTTTTTGAATAGAAGGTGAAGCATGTTTGTAGTTACTTCGATGTCTGACTTCAGTGCTTCAGCTGGTATGTTGTCAGGTCCTGCTGCTTTCCCGTTCTTGATTTGTCTGACGGCCATTCTGATTTCTTCCTTCGTTAGTGGGTTGACGTTTATGGGAAGATCTGTGTGTGCCGCTTCGATATCCGGTGGATTCATTGGAGCCGACTTATTCAGGAGTTCCTCGAAGTATTCTACCCATCTGTTCCGCTGTTATTGAGTTTCAGTGATTGACTTGCTTTCTTTGCTTTTGACCGGTCTCTGTGGTTTACTGTATTTCCCTGATAGTTTCTTCGTTGTACCGTAGTTGTTTCATATTTCCTTCTATTGAAGCTTTTTCCGCCGTCGTTGCTAGTTCTTCCACCTATTTCTTCTTGTCGGCTGTAATGCTTTTCTTCACTTGCTTGTTTGCTTCTGTGTATTCAGTTTGTGCTTGGACTTTCTCTGCTCGTGTTCGGCTGTTGTTAATTGCTGCCTTGTTGTTCTTCCTTTCTTTGATCTTGTCCAAAGTTTCTGAACTTGCAAGATGTCGCGTGAGACTATTTTGTAAATAAGCCTTCTTTTTGTGCAGAACACCACGTATTTTAATTTTTGAAAATAAAGATCTGTGGCCGTTACTCCAAGTTCTCTCTTGGTGTGAGGTTCTTTTCAAATCAGCTGTGTCGACCGATGGCACTCGGGGGTGTTCTCTTATTGGTCGAGGCAGCAGCACTTCGACAAACGTGAGCATACCAATTCTTCTCGCTCCATGATATCTAGACTAGGAAACGCCTGAACTGCTATTTGTTGCGAAAGGTGGAGATAATCAATGGGATCTTCACTCGCTTTCTGGTAACGTGATAGAAATTGGATGGTCACCTGCTGATCACACGCGCTAGAACTGATGATGGAGGTGTCCATGGCAAAACGTGTGTAGAATTATGGTCTACTATGATATTAGTACTGCTCTAACAATAGACCTAATCCTAAAATTGTAGATTTGTCATGATATAACTGCCTAATCTATAAGATCTTACGTGGAAGTCACATCATCGACTACACCAACTCACCGTATCGTAACAACTACCAATACATGATGAAAAACAAGCTTAGGCTAGAGAAAGAACAATATATTTAATATGAATAGGAGATATAAGATAACATCCAGCAGGGACCACGCCTGCATGGCCGAGCCATGCCACTCGATCAACCCCAGTCCATTTAATTCATAGTTCGCGCCTTCTCCATGTTAGGTATTTATCCGCGTTAAATATTGAATATCTATTTTCTGAGTAGTCTCGTGTTCAGCTTTGCGGATTGTGCGGTTATTATTCAGTGCCACTACACGTGTCGAAATCTATGATGAACCGCTAGTGATTCCGGACAGGGTAGCACCCGTTACGGCCCCCCACCAACCGCCACTACTTGAAACCCAACCAGAATATTCTATATGGAAAGCGAGAGTAATAGAATATCTACGTAAGGTCTCGACGTCAGAGCACTTCAATAATTTCTCATATTACCTAGACGATGAGATGGCTAAAGGACCTCCAATTCTGAGGGCAAACACCAAATGCATTGG